GGTGAAATCCCCCATCTCTACTAAAAATAAAAAAAATTTGCAGGCATGGTGGCGCATACCTATAGTCCCAGCTACTCTGGAGGCTGATGCAGGATAATTGCTTGAACCTGGCAGGTGGTGGTTGCAGTGAGCAGAGATCATGCTGCCGTGCTCCAGCCTGGGTAACAGAGTGAGACTCCCTCTCAAAAAAAAAAAAAAAAAAAAGAACAGTACCTCCCTATACTGGAAAGTAACAGTTCAGTGAATGTCCCCTTCCTCCTGGTCTGTGCTTCCCTGGTGCCCTGAATTGTATTGTTAGAGAGGCATCCACGTGGGGTATGGCAGTGTCTCAAAGTTTGGGTTCAAAATTTAACTTCATTAAATGTAATAGGTTCAGGGACTGAGTCATCACTGTCACTAGCACCAGGCAGGACTCATTTATCTGATGGCCAGCTCAGACCAAGGGAGCAGAGAGCTCTCCTACCCACTCACAGAGGTGGTTCAATCAACAGTCTAGCTGGATGAGTGGAACACTGTTCAAGAACATGGTGATAAGGAGGGAAAGGCCAGAGGTGGGAGACCACACCTAAGAAAATGGGAGTTCCCCAGAGGGAGGCTATGACCAAGGGACTTGGAATAGAAGACAAGAGAGTCTGTGTCATCTCCTATGAACACAGGAGTCTCCCTAAGCTATTTTGGTTTTTGCAATCTGCTTTTATATAGTTTTATGAAGAAGTTTCCCTTTACCCAAGACCTCTCTACTCTACCAGATGGGTGGGGAGAGGAAGGTCCAGCAAGCGTTCCAGTGTGCTAAAGGAAAGTGTTGTATCCCTGGAGGCCCCAAAGACCATTGGCCCCTAAAATCAGAGAGGGGAAGGGCTGTGACAATTTCTGCTGTCACATCAAGTGACAAAGTTTCAAAGAACTTTTTGTTTTTTTGAGATGGAGTTTTTGTTCTTATTGCCCAGGTTGGAGTGCAGTGGTGCAATCTTAGCTCACTGCAACCTTCACCTCCTGGGTTCAAACGATTCTCCTGCCTCAGCCTCCTGAGGAGCTGGGATTACAGGCATGCACCACCACACCCAGTTAATTTTGTATTTTTAGTAAAGACGGGGTTTCTCTATGTTGGTAGGCTGTTCTTGAACGCCCGACCTCAGGTGATCCGCCCACCTTGGCCTCCCAAAGTTCTGGGATTACAGGCGTGAGCCACTGCGCCTGGCCCTAAGAACTTTTTAAAGCAGGAATAGCATCATTTCCTTGCCATCTCTTCAGTCTCAGGGTGGTGCGCCTGACGCCTAACTGCCTCTGATAGGGTAAATCCTACCAGGGTTTTTTTAAAGGACACAGGGTATTAGTGGAATCATCCCTACTCCTGCTTATGCCAAGTCAGCCCAATTTCTGTCTGCATATAACCCAGTTCAGCCATTCAGACATGCCAGAGACTACCACAAAATATTTGCAGATCTGTGGGGGAAAAAAAAAAACAAGCAAGAAAAAAAAAAGTAGGGTGTGAACTGCATGAAGAAACTTGCAAATGACTTTATACGATCCATAAATGGATAGTAAGAAACAATCCTGGCAGGAAGATGATGCTTGCGTATAAGGGAACACAGCCCCTCTACTCCAAGACCCTCAGGTGGCCTTTCTGCTTAGGGTGTTGAGAAAGGATCCATGGATGATGGTGGTGTCCTTCCAGCTGCTCTGTTCAGCCACTCTACTGAGCACATTCCAGACCCCAGAGGGCTGCTACCACATTCCTTCCTGCTTCCCACGTGTGCTACCCCCTCTTTCCCCTTTCTCCTGCCATCTGTCCCTTCCTCTTTTTACTCTCCCTCTTCCTCCCAAAGTCTGAAACAGGCTCTTAAGATCCGACACTTCCCTCTAGCAAAAAGTCTAACCTTGGGGACCAATAGCAAGGCAGGGGTGGGGACACATGTGTCACCAGTAAAGATTACTGGGCTGGGAGAGAGAATGGATGCTGTCTCCAGAGACAGAGAGGAAGGTATCCAGAGAGGCACATATGTGGGGAAGCCAGTCACCAGCCCTGGCGAGGGGCCAAGTTGAAACAAGTTAGCATGCATCATCCAGAGGGGTTGAGAGCATGGGCTCTGGAGTCAGACCTGATTTCGAATCCCAGCTCTGTCATTTATCCACTGTAGGATATAGGCAAATTATTTAACCTCTCTGAGTCAAATTTTCTCATCTATAAAAATAGGGATGACCACAACCATGTGAATATATTCATGCTATTGAACTGGACACTTAAAAATGGTTAAGATGGTGAATTTTTTGTTATGTGTTTTTTATCACAATATAAACATGGGGATAATAATGGGACCTCCCTCATAGGGTGGTTGTGAGGGTTAATGAGATAATACACAAAGTGCCTGGCACATAGTACATGCTCACTAAAAGCTGGCTTTTGCTGTTGTTGATTTTCCAAGTCTGATGACTGGCATGCATGACGCTTCTTTCAACAATGGCTTATTGGGCTTATACTATAATCACGGCTCTGAACTATGGCATAAGAAGGTGGAGGGTACCTCTTGCCATGGAGAAGCTACTTCTCTAGCAGAGGGTATGAGCCACGTGTGGAAAGGGAAGGAACAGGTATGACCAAAAGAATTGGAGGAGTCCTCAACTAACTTAACCTTGGGGCAATTGCAGTTTCCCTGGAATTTAATTTCCTCCCTTGGTATAAGAGGAGGTTGACCCAGGATATTCCCAAAGTCTCTCTCACTTCCAAATTTCTGTGACTACCTTAATTATAGGCAAAATTCAGAGTCTGCTGTATAGTCTGAGACACTCATCATGATCTCTGACCTCTTTGGGCTTCAGTATCTGCATCTGTGAAATGGAGGAGGAAGGCACTCACTTGACCTTGAGAGGCTTGTTCAAGTTCTCACATCATGGGACTGTCAAAGCTATCAAAACTGTGTCAGCTCCACCATAAGCTCACTCTCCAGAAGGAAGCAGCCTCCAGTGCTGAATTCGCAAATCTAAATATAATTCTTGTAATTTCATAGGAAGGCCAGGCTGGAGGAAGTGAGCATGAGGAAGCCGGGGCTAGAAATGGGCAGGGCTTTAGAAAGAGTGGAGGAGGGGGATGTTGTCATAAGAGTCCTGCTGCATGCAGATAACAGGAGAGTCACTGAAAAGCAGCATGCTGTTAGGAGAAATACCTAATGTAGATGACGGGGCGATGGATGCAGCAAACCACCACCATGGCACGTGTATACCTATGTAACCTGCACGATCTGCATATGTGCCCCAGAACTTAAAGTATAATAAATAAACTTTTTTAAAAAAGAGCTTTCCCAAAGGGATGCTATTATAATTTAAATATTTTTTAAAGGTTTTTACATTAAAATAATAGGAGGAAAAAAAAGTAGCATTCAAAATGATGGCTTGGTGGCCAAAGACTTCCGCTTTAAGCCAGAGGTGACCTGAAAAGAAGATGTTTTGGGTGAATCACAGAATTCTCCAGTCTGCCTGTATCTGTCGTCTGGCTTCACATAAGCCAGAAGGTTTCTGTCATGTAATTAAGTGGTGAAAGGGGCCCCTTTCTGCATTACGAGAGGGTAGGGTTTGTGTTCAGGTTGGCTCTATTTCCCGCATGTGCCATGCCCAGTGTGCACACACTGAACATTTGTGGAATAAAACAAAAAAAGTCACGTATAAAGCAGCAAATCATGACATTAAACTTTAAGGAGTAACCCCCGCAATCAATACATTGATACAAATAGTATTTAATATAGTATTTTAAAAATCAAAATGAATGCCCAAAAATCCATGGTGAAGAAACGATTGGAATTTTAAATGAACACAGAATCAGTCCTGCTGATTTGTTTTGTCTCAGGCCCCAGTATGGCCAGTATAGCAGTGTGTCTCCGTAATGTCCACTTTGAGAGTTGTTGGTCTTGCAGTCACCAACTCTTCCTCTGCATTGCTGAGGCCCACAGGGCACTCCTAGTGTTATTCCATTGCCTTTGGTACCATGCTGCCATGAGCTTGGGGCTTGGGCCTGGCAGAGTTGCCTCCATACTGGTGTCCCAGCCACCACTGCCCCAAGGTCCTCCTCCATTCTTCCACCCTCATCATGACACACCCGAGGAAAGGTCTCCAAGGGCTTCCAGCAGGAAGCCTGTAACCCCCATTGCCTTGGCTGAACAAGTCCCCTGACCATCTGTCTCTGCTCCCTGCAGTCTCATCTTTATCTTGTAAACATCCCCTCAACACCTACTCCCCTGCCACTCTCAGTTGCTCCCTGGACCCCAGACATCTCAGACAGTTTCACCTCTGAGACTCCGCACTTGCTGTTCCCGATACCTGGTTGCTGTGGCTCACCTTTTTGCTATGACTGGGGATACGAGTTGAAGAGCCAAAGAGCGAAAAAGAAAAAGGGTTAAAGAACATTCAGAAGTTTCAAGCCTAAAGACCCAAGGATGCCAGCTTATAAGCTCCATTTTCTTCTTTTTCTTTCTTTCTTTTTTTTTGAGATGGAGTCTCACTTTGTTGGCCAGGCTGGAGTACAGTAGTGCAATCTTGTCTCACTGCAACCTCTTCCTCCTGGGTTCAAGTGCTTCTCAGGCCTCAACCTCCCAAGGTCTGTAACAATTACAGACATGCGCCGCCACACCCAGCCAATTTTTGTACTTCAACATGTTGGCTAGGTTGGTCTTGAACTCCTAACCTCAAGTGATCTACCCTCCTTGGCTTCCCAAAGTGCTGGGATTATAGGCGTGAGCCACCACACCTGGCCCTTTTTCTTATTGGCAGTTTTCAATTTTCCATCATATAGCTGTTTTAAAATTTAGGAACAAAAATAAAATATACTGTATGAGTAGCATCTTAAAGAGAAACTGGGAGCCAGTTTTATTAAACACCTGAAAAAGGAACGTCAGCTAGAGAATCAGCAGACCTAATGATGATTGTTAATTTTTTTATTTTTAAATGTGTTGGCCGAGCACGGTGGCTCACGCCTATAATCCCAGCACTTTGGGAGGCCGAGGCGGGTGGATCACCAGGTTAAGAGATCGAGACCATCCTGGTCAACATGGTGAAACCCCGTCTCTACTAAAAATACAAAAATTAGCTGGGCATGGTGGTGCGCACCTGTAGTCCCATCTACTCGGGAGGCTGAGGCAGGAGAATTGCTTGAACCCAGGAGGTGGAGGTCGTGGTGAGCCAAGATCATGCCATTGCACTCCAGCCAGGGTAACAAGAGCGAAGCTCCGTCAAAAAAAAAAAAAAAAAAAGTTAAAAAAAATGTATTTAAATGTAAAGTTTAAAATTGTTTTTAAAAATCCATTCATGGTAAAAAGTATTCATGGATACATTTTTGTTTCTATATATGCCAAGGAAAACTTTGCAGAGATTTCTACTCAAAATTGATTTTAGAAACATGTAAGTTAGAGATACCAGGTCAATTGTATCAGCACAGATGTTCTAAGGATATCCAAGTGTATGTGGATAAAGCAAAGGGCTGAGCCAGCAGCCCCCAGTGGTTCCCGCAGTACTTGAACTCCTGACCTCAAGTGATCTGCCCTCCTTGGCCTCCCAAAGTGTTTGGATTACAAACAGGAGCCACCATGTCCAGCCCTTTTTCTTATTCTTACTGGTAGTTTTCAATGTTCTGTCATAGAACTGTTTTAAGATGTAGTAACAAAAATAAAATATCCTATATGAATATGAGCTTAGGGTGAGACTGAATGGCTCTGGGCCATGACAAAAAAGCTCAGGCTTGATTAAGTAGATGCTGGGGAGCTGCTGCACTCTTGAGAAGGGAGTGATCTGTTGAAATCTGGGTTTTAGAAACATTTAGAAAGAGGCCCTACCAAGCCCTCACAGCACGGATGGGAGGGCCCTGCTGCCAGCTGCTGCATTTTCCTCATGTAAAGGGGAAAGTGTAGGCTTAGATCTTGGCTCAGAGAGGAGGACCAGCCCTACAAACACTGAAAGTTTGAAACTCAAGAACTGGACCTGAGGTTAAGATGCAGGAATGAAGAAGGAAGGATTTACTTGCTCTGTTTGTTTGTAAAGGGTCACTTTGATCTGAGACACTCTTTAATCCACTCCTGCATGGAGATTAAACAGGGATTTTTCTCTGATCAGCAATGCTCTGCATTCCACCCCTTCTGAAAGACAAGTGGAAAAAAATAATATCGTGAAACCTGCCTTTCGTTATTCTCTGTGACAGCACTAAAGAGCTACAAGGAAAACAAGATGTTTTCTGATATTCTTCTTTCTACTAAACTTAAAAGAATACTTCTTACAGATAATATCATCTGTTAAATCATTTCCTGCATTTAATAAGAGTTACTGGAAAAGTATTTTTGTAAAATATGTAATTTCCTGGACAACTCTGGTGATGTGGCCGAAATCTCTGCACGCAGCTGCCCTCCCCGTGCCCTCTTGGCCCTGGAAGAGCTCGGTGTCCTTCAACCCCATCCTTCCTGGACTTACTTATCCTTCCACATGCCTGGGGCTCTTCTCAGCCTGCAGATACCTTTCTACGGATTCTCTCTATGGATTCCTCTCCTTGTGCTCTCTTGGCCAGACAATCTTTCCTGGGGTATGTACAAAGATCTCCTATCCTGATAACGCTGTCAGTGGTTCTTAACCTTGGCTGCACATTGGATCTCCTGAGAGCCAATGATTCTGGTTTAAATGGTCGGGGCAAAGTCCTGGGTATCAGGATTATTAAAAGTCCCCTAAGTGATTCTAATGCATGGCCAAAGTCAAGACCATTTCTTTAACCTACCGTTTCATCTAAGAAGGAGATGTATAAAGACTACCAGTTGATGTAAGGTCTAACCTTCAATTCATAAAAGACATTGAAGAAGGCTGGGCTGTATACATTTAGCTCCTGGGCTCAGAGTCCCTGCTCTGACACCAAGCTGCCTGGGAAGAGAAGGCAGGCAGACTGGAAGCTTCACTGTGCCTAACTTGTATTAATCTGAGCCCAGGTAAAGGTGAATGTCTGGCCATCGGCAACTACAGCCTATTCCTTCTGCTGTCTTCCTCCTGTTGAAAGCATACCATTGACTAAAATTCCTGTTGCCAGTGTGTTTCCTTTCCTGGGAAGAATGACCCGGTAAGCTTTCAGCCACTCATTATGGAGAAAAGAGTAAGATTTGTTGTTAAAGCTATTCCAGGCCATGGTGGATGGGGGAAGATATCCTGGATGTTGGGAAGTCGTCTCTTTTGCTCTTTCCATTTAAACCTAGCCTAGAAGGGGATAAACCTGGCCTAATCCTTTTAAAAATGTCTCTCAACCTTCCATGTACCTAGGAAATTTGTTAAAATGCAGATTGCTGTGCTCCACCTGGAATTTTTATTCCATTGATATAGTTTAGGAATTTCTAATAAAACTGAATTTTTAATAAACAAATACAGGCAAGCTTTAGACCTTACTCCAGAAAACACTGTTTCAGAGGAGTGATCTGGAAGAGAGGCTGGGTTTGAAGGCACAGGAGGGAACCTGAGATTGTTTCCTCCCTCCCTGCCCTTCAGGTCCAAGCCTCTTGATCTCAGCCTCCCAGAAGCCTGGCATTCAGCACTTATTCTCACACAGCCCTTGCTTCTCTGGTCTCAGATCGCCACATGATCTGGTCATCTCTCTGCTCCCTCAAGCTGAGGGATCCTGATTCACTGCTTCTTGTCACGCCGACTTAGATAAAAGCTGTATAACTTATGCAACCAGCCACTACTTACCTATGACTTGAAAGAAAGAGCAAGAAGGCAAAGCAGGAAGGCAAGGAAGGCAGGAAAGACAGGAAAGGGAAGGGAAGGGGAGGGGAGGGGAGGAGAAGGGTGGGGCTGGGTGGGGAGGGAGAAGGGAGGGTAGAGGGGAGGGGAAGGGAGGGGAGGAGAAGGGAGGGGAGAGGGGAGGGGAGGAGAAGGGAAGGGAAAAAGGAAAGGTAAGGGAAGGAAAGGGAAGGGAAAGGAAGGGAGGGGAGGGGAGGGAAGAAGGGAAGGGAAGGGAGGGGAGGGAAGAAGGGAAGGGAAGGGAAGGGAAGGGGAGGGAAGAAGGGAAGGGAAGGGAAGGGAAGGGAAGGGAAGGGAAGGGAAGGGGAGGGAAGAAGGGAAGGGAAGGGAAGGGAAGGGAAGAGGAGGGGAGGGGAGGGGAGGGGAGGGGAGGGGAGGGAAGGGAAGGGAGACTATAGTTAACAATGATTTATTGTATATTTCAAAATAGCTAGAAGAGAAAATTTGGAATGTGCTAATGTGCTTAGCACAAAGAAATAAATGTTTGAGATGATGGGTATTCCAGTTACCCTGATTTATATGCATATATCAAAATATCACATGCATCCATAAATATGTACTGCTATTATGCATCAACTTTAAAAATTATAGTTTATGGAACACTTCAGTAACTTACTATAATTATATAGTTATGTAGTATAATTGTTATAGTTTTAACAATATACAATAAAAAGTAATTAGGAAATGTCAAGAAGCACCAAATGCCAAATTGAGCCAATGACAAAATTGCATCCAATTCTTTTGCAACATTTTGCATCTGTTTGTTTATATCCACAGCAAAATTACTTATGCAAATTGGCCCCTGGTTCCCTATTACTCTGCCTGTGTTCCACTCTTGACAAATTTCTGATACGATTCTTCACTGCTGGCTCATTTTGCTCTTCAACCTGGTTAAGCATTAACTTAGGGTAACAGTAACTCCATCCATTTACAGTCAGCTTACAACTAGAGCTGCCCTTTGCTCTCCATATGAAATTATTGACTTTCTCTGCAGTCCGTCCAATTCAACCTCTTTCTCTCTCAACTTCTCTTTCTCTCCACTGCCAGACCTATTGTTTTCATTTCCTTCTTTCTTCTGTCTTGAAGATTCTCTGTAGTTCCTCAGGTAAAGAAGAAAGGGGTTTGGCATAGAGTATACGTGAACAAATTCTAGAAAATTATTGAGTTCCGAGGCCTAGCTCCCAGAGTCAGAGAAAACTGCTTTCAGGATTATGGGGAAATCACCATTTCCCACAAGAAAAATAACTGTGTACAGCTCATTATCTAAAGGGTCCAGTCAAATAGTTTTCTCAGAACGAAGGAAGAACTTACCTGACAGGTGAATTAAAACACATCCTGCTCTTTCAGGGAAGAACCGTGTGAAATTTTATTATACAGTTTTTTAAGTCAGAAAATTATTATGAGGAAAACATAACATGTCCCTATCCTTCCATTACAACATTTTTCTCCATATAGGTATATAACACAGATAATACAAATGATATATACACATGCTATAAAAATTCAAATATTTTAAAACATCATAAAGTAACAACCCCCTTTTTAGAAGGTAGAAGTTCCAGGCAGCAACAGGGATGCATATTCTTCTTCCTTTTTTTTTTTTAGGGGTCTGTGGCATTCCATTGCATGGATCTACCAGAATTTAGTTAACTAGTTCCCTGTTAATAATTGGTGAGTTTTGGATTGTTTTCAGAGTTATGGTTGCAGGGAGGGCAGGAGAAGCAGAGAGGATTAGAGAGCTCTTACACGTCATGCTGCAATAAAGATGCTTATCTATATATACTGATACCACCTTGTGACCATGTTCACAAGACAAATTCCTAGCAGTTCAATTGCTGGGTCAAAAGTCATGGACGTTTTAAATCTTGACATATATTGATTGTAACAATTTACCTTCCCAACACTGGATATTATTACAGTTGCTAGGTTTTGCCAGTCTGATAGGCAAACATGACATCTCACTGTTGTTTTGATTTAGATTTGTTTAAATGTAAGTGAGGTTCAATATCTTTTCATTGGTCTGTTGGCCACTTATATTTGTTTTCTCTTAGCTGTGTGTTCACATCTTTAGCTTATTTTTCTATTGAATTGCTTCTCTTTTTCTTACTGAGTTAAAAGATTTCTTTGTAAATCAAGGAAGGTCAGTGCAAAAGTAATAGCGGTTTTTGCCATTACTTTTAGTGGCAAAACCATGATTACTTTTGCACCAACCTAATACATACTTATTACTGTTATTACTATATACTGCAAATATTTCTTCTAGCATGTCATTTATCTTTTGATTTTGTACATATTGTTACCAGTGGAGGGTCTTGACTATGAGTCTTCCAAGTTCTTGACATTTTGAAGAAGAACTGGACAAAATGCACAAACGAAGCAACAAAAGAATTAAGTGATGAAAGCATAGATTTATTGAAATGAAAGTGCACTCCACAGAGTGGGAGTGGGCTTGACCAAGGGGCTCAAGAGCACTAGTTACAGAATTTTCCAGGGTTTAAATACCTTCTAGGGGTTTCCCATTGGTTACTAGGATAAACCCTATGTAAATGAAGGAGTGGCCCATGACCGGTCTGATTGGTTGCAGAAGGTGACCAATCAGAGGCTGAAGTGAAGGTACAAAGTTACACATGAAGAATTGGCCTGGGATCAGTCTGATTGGTTACAGGAGGGGACCAATCAGAGGTACTTTACATTTTTCATCTATAACAGTGCAAAGGTAGTAGTCTCTGATCCGTTTGCTACTTGGGCATGGAGAAATTGGTTTTTCCTTTTGTTTCAGTTCTAGGAAGTCAGTACAAATTGGCCTTAGATTCCCTGCCTCCAGACCTATTCTCCTGACTCAATTTTACTTTTTCTTCCAAAGAAGTTTCAAATATCAGCCAGATTTAATAATCATTTTCTTTATGACTCCTAGGTAGGAGTAACTTTTAAATGGAAGTTTTAATAGATGCTACCTACTAACGTTTTGAAAAAAAGAACCTTGGGCCTGATTGAAGCCTCTGCTATGTACACAGAGTAGCACCTATCTTCATAATGTGGATACTCTAAGACAATGAGCAATGAACAACAAGCCTTGTAATAGGATCAGAGTACTTTTGCCTCACGTGTCTCTTCAGAACAGACAGATCAAGAAATCAGAATTTCTTTCTTTACAGTCTGGATTGGCCCAGACATGTCAACAGATAGGGACATAGCCCAGTGACCACATTCCTTATAGAATCAGTCATACTTCTCTTTTGCTAAAGTCGCAGATGGTCAATTTAATTAAATACAATATAATTCATCCTATTTGGAGGTTTTTTTTGGTAAGGTTTGTTGAGGGATCTGTGGGGATCGCTCCCGTGTGAGGGCCCTGGGAAATGGGCCTCACCATACGGTGAGCTTGAGCCCGGACACAGATCCCCGGTTGGGGGAGTCGAGCTGAGGGAAAGCAGGAACCGAGAGAGGAACGATATGCTATTCAAAATAATTAACAGACATTACTTTATGGATATGAGGACTTGGGAGGCATTGTGTCTACTTTTGGCTCCTTATGGTTTATTGTCTCATTGTGTTCATTTTGGACCCTTGTTACCTTCATTGTAAAATATTAACTTAAGTATTTACACTTGGTAACTTACTTACCTAACTTACTGGGTGTAACTGTAACTTACTTACCATAACTTACTGGGCGTAACTGTAACTTGCTTACTTACTGGGCGTAACCTACTTACTGGAAGTAACAGACTAACTGGGCTTAACTTACTTACTGGGCGTAACTTGGTGGGTGTAACTTGCTTACTGTAACTTAAGTATGTTGATCTGACATAAACAACATTAACTTCAGAAAAGTATATAATGGAACATATTGCAAAAATAAAATTGCTGCATGGGCATAGCGCATGTGGCCCTCCAGACCTCGCTCTTTTTCTTTCTCCTTTTTTTCCAGCACACGCTCTCTTCCGGGTTTGGGACCCTCTCACTGGATGAGATTCCTGGGCTCGCGTTCAGTTCACAACAGTTTGTGTCCCTTTTTATATTCAAGAAGAGTAGAAACCTTTTTAAAAAATATCAGACTGGTTATTAATATCTTATGTTTAATTTCATTTTCTTACAGGCAGCTTCAAAAGATAGTCCATGATATTAAAAACAATGAAGGTGGAATAATGAATAAAATCAAAAAGTAAGTTTGACTCTGCTTAAATACTTAGTTATATAAAATAAGTCAGCATGTGCTACATGGAAGAAAACAAATTTCTCTGTTACCTGGATGAGGAGTTTCAACCTCTTTAGCACATAACCCTTCCTTGCTATTGGCTGGAATCCATGGTGGTTAGGTCTACCTTCTGGACAGGACAAGTGAGTATGGTGGTACTCAGGGGACTTCGATTTTTCTTCTCACTGCAGGGAGGGTGAGCTATGCCCATTCAAGGTGCCTAACAAACATCAAAGCAGGAGAGTCGTTTCTATAACCATTTAGCTAAGGGCTACCAAGACATGTATGGAGAACTCCAAATGAAAAGTTACAAAACACAGCCCTAGCTTCTTCAAGATGCCATATCCGTTTTCCATATTTTGATTTCTGCTTTTTGAATTATTATCTTAAAATGAACTTTTCAGTTGGCACTTGGAGAGGAAAAACTAGCACCACAAAACTCCTTGTACTTCAAAAACTCAAGATTTGTTTTAAGAGAATATAAATGGTACATATATGCATTTGCCACTCAAAATTAAGGGCACAAAATCTTGTGTCCTTAATCTCTTTCAAGAGAAAATGGGAAATGGTATTCTGTTAAGTCTTAAAAATTTTCAAATGAAATTAATGCAAATTCACCAGGAAAAAGAAAAATCAAAGACGCCAGAATTTATGAACTCCCATTTCCTTGTATCTCCATCTGAACCCACTCCCCAGAAAGGGACGTTGTCATCAGTAAATTCAGTGTGTGTCTATATATGTATGTATGTATGTGTGTATTTATACACATTGTACATTCTATACACATACATTTTCATCATGAACCGTGTCATAGTGCATACGTCATTCTACCAACTTGCTTTGTTGGTTTTACTTAAGCTATTTCATGGACATCTTTATTTGTAAGTAAGTAAAAATTAACCACATTCTTTTCTGAACAGGTGATTTAATAGTCTACCTTAAATGTATTACAATTCAGTTAACTAGCTCTATATGGTGGCCATCTTTAAGATGGGGATTTGAATTTAAACTGGTACAACATTTTGGAGAGCAATTTGATAATATCAATCAAAATTCTCTGGCTGCTTCTTGCAATTTAAATGTCATGAATAATACGTTAGTAAATGCTCATTGCAGACCTTGAATATACCAGTAGGCTAAATTCCTGAAATGAAATTTCCAAATGGAAGGAGTTGCGTCCTTAAAATTTTGATTGCTATTACCAAATTTTTCTCCCCAAATTTTAGACCAAAAATAGTTTATACAAGTTTATTTCTCTACTCATTCAAAACAGTATCCTTATTCTTTTTAATCTATGCTAAAATTAAAAATAAGAAATCACTTTTGGTGATATTTCCAGTCTGTGAAATGTAAATGAGTCTCTATGCATAAGTGATCATCATAAAACATCAGTGGCCTTCTGCTTGTGAGGTGGTGGTCATCTCACAGAGAAGGAGAATTTGGCTTCATGTTCTGTCTGGTGACTGGGAGGTGTGTGATGATTTTTCCTTATTATATCTGCTACAAATAGGATCTCGTTCTCTACGACAGAGTCCTTGTTACAATCACTAGCAATTCTAGATTAATTCTCCCCCATTGCCAGGTTTACAGTACACTGGTTCTCAATAACAGGAAGCCTCTGCATAAAATGTCTCTTTATTCCATGGTCAGTCATATTTATAGCAGCTGTGTGGAGCTCAAATTTTTTCTAAGAGCTTCTATTTCAAACATTCTGCCCATTGGACAACCAAAGCACTTTTACATGACAAACTATGTTTCTTCTCAGCCTGGAAATTATGGTCACCATAGTCATTACCCGGGGTGACATCAGGGGCCCTTTAGCTCAAAGTGACTTGCAATTATGCTCTTACTTGAAGCCAGGCTGCAGGTGCTACCATGAATGGAGGAAACATGCTTGACCAAGCTGGTTTCCTAACGCAAGGCTGTGACAGAGTTTTCACTGGTCCTTGGCCACATGAGAAAATAAGGACGCTGAAGTGTTGGGGGTTGTGTGCAGCAGCCAGCTACAGAGTAAAGTTCACCCATGCCTTTTATTCCTAGTGTTCAGTGGCCAACAGTCCTTTAATAAGTTTCTTCTTTAGTCTGAGATGATTTGAGGGTGTTAAAACACCCTTGCTTTTCTTTGATGAAAGGATAGAAATAGTGGATAATAGATGGTTTGTGCTTTTTTTTTTTTTTTTTTTTTTTAAAAAAAGATGGGTTTTCACCCTGATGGCCAGGCTGGTCTTGAACTCCTGACCTCAGGTGATCCATCCACCTCAACCTCCCAAAGTGCTAGGATTACAGGCGTAAGCCACCGCGCCCTGCTGGTTTGCGCCTTTGGAAATTTTGCTATTCTTTGACACAACCTGGGCACCAGATCTAGCTTTGGTTTTGTTTTTCTTCCTTGCAACACCTTGGACGATCTCTGTCTCTGTCCCTCATGTGGACCTAATGATAGGATCTTCCCAGCCTACCCTGCTGGCTTGTGAGAACTGAATGTAATAATAGATACTGAGAGCCTTTGAGAAAAAGAAAACCAGAATTTCTTTGTAAATATAAGTATTGTCATTTTTGCAAATTACAATTTTGGTTCATAAATTCTTTTTGTGTGCCTTTTCTAATCAAACGCAAATTTCTATGCTGCTTTTTTTTCTTACAAAACATGAAATGTTTGTATATAATAGCAGTTATACTGCTTCTATTGAAGGATATGATATTTTAGAAAATAAAGGCTACTGGATATAAGTTGTATTTATGTATATTTTAAATTTCACTCAGCAAATAATTCTTAATTAAAATGGGTAATAACTATTTAAAATAATTTACTGTAAACTTACTCATTTTAAGTAGTGGAAAGGGAGGTTATCAGAACTTACAAAACTTGGAATAGTTTTCTAAAACTAATTTAAATTTTTTTCTTTTATTGAATGAAGAAGGATTGTGAATATTTAGCACATTTCATCTGTACATAAAGATACTAAAGTCGTTTTGAGAGTGCTTAAAACAAGTTGAATACTAAATAAGCTGAGTATCATAATCTCCAATCTTAAGACACTCACTGTTCACTTATTTGGCTTTTTTTTTTTTTAAGGCAGTGTCTCACTCTGTCACCCAAGCTGGAGTGCAGGCTGTGATCACGGCTCACTGGAGCCTTTACCTCTGGGGCCCGAGCCATCCTTCCACCTTAGCCCCTCAAGTAGCTGGGACTGCTGGGACCACAGGCACATGCCACCATGCCTGGCTCATTTTCTTTATTTTTTGTAGAGATGAAGTCTCACTATGTTACCCAGGCTGGTTTTGAACTCCTAGGCACAAATAATCCTCCTGTTTGGTCTCTCAAAGTACTGGGATTACAGAAATGAGCCGACGTGTCTGGCTTATTTGCATTTTTTTAAATGGTGCAAAAATGATTTTAGCCCAACCTACAACTAAAATGCTTACCGTAACTGGTTTTTTCCCGTTAAACATTTGTAAGCCGCTAAAATGTAGTTCATCTTACCTTATCTTCCTGTCAACACTTGCCTTACCAACCAATCAGCACTCACCTTCCTTGAACCTCTGAACTCAGTGATTACCATCGTAGTATTCTGACCTCTCTGAGCCCTTCTCCACCTGACTTCACCTTTGCCAAGTCATAGCCACACTGTGCTTGCACCGGGGAGGTGGGGAGAAGTGGGAAACCTGACTAAGGCTCCACTACATTTACGATACATCAAATCTGTCCATTGATGAGTCCAAAAGAAGCCGTTATGCTATTAGTTGTCTAGCTATTCTCTCTACATCAGCTTATAGCATTGGCTCTGACATTCGTTGTTCTGCTCACTGACCTTTTGTCTCGTGGTTGTTACCTCCAGGCTAAAAGTCAAAGCACCTCCAAGTGTTCCTCGAAGGGACTATGCTTCAGGTAAGAGTATTTCTCAGATACTTTAACTGACTCTTGACTAATTTAATGTTCATATTTACACTTATGCTTATTGAAAAGAAAAGATGTTACCTTTATTTGAAAACAAAAGGTATCTTTCCAATTTTCTTTTTCCTGAATTTCAAGAATGACTAAATCTATTAGGCATTTGACTACCATGGAGATGTAGTTTTTTATCCATCCATCCACCCATCTGTTTATTGGACATTTATTAAATATTTTCCATGTGCTAGGCACACAGTTCAATATAGTAAGATCCCATCTCTTAAAATATAAGAAAAAAATATTAAGCAAAATAGAAATAGAGTTGTCTTGTGCAATTTCAAAGGAGAGAATTAAGAAGTTAGGTCGTTTGTGTGGTTTTTTTCTCTGGGATAAACATCTCCAGGTGCTTCAGCTGTTTCTCACATTTTCTGATTCATTCAACACATGTTTCATGAGTGTATCCTGAGTGACTCTCACTGTGCTAGATCTGGAGTGGGGAACAAAATATAGTGCCTGACCTTACAGTGCTGAATGACTAGTGACGACTCAGACAAGAAACAAGAAAGCAAACAGGTAAACATACATTAGCAAGCATGGTAACTGCTGTGAGGGAAAATGGCAGGGTGCCGTGATGGGGAATCAGTGTGGGGTAGGAAAAGAGCTTAGGTGGTCTGGGAAGGTCTGTCCAAGAAGGTGACATTTAATTGGAGGACTTGGGGACAAATGGGCAGGAATATTTGTCACTTTTAGATGAACCAACAGCATCAGAGATGCTGGAAAAAGATGCCAGACACAGATACCAAGAGTTCAGAGTCAACTGTTGGAAACCTAAGTGGACTGACATATCTGATTTCAGGGTGGACATCGCTCCTGATCGGTCTCACACTCATCGGTCTGCCTGCTCATCCCCTCACCCAGGCCCTCTCCTCTCCCTCTATTTCTGCTTGGGGAAAAGGGAGGTAGCATGTCTGTTATTCATCCTTTTGCCTAACCCACATGCCTTGGGATCAACCTTGATGCCTCCTTTTCTCTCACCATCTACAAAAATTAATCTCCAAATCTCACCAATTCTCTCTTAACATCATCTTAAATATTTTTCCCCTGTCTGTTCCCATTGCTACAACTAAGACCTTCATCATCTCTTGCTTGTCCTAGTACAGAAGGCTCTAAGTAATCTGTTTAATTCCTGATTGCCTGTGGTCCTCTCGACTTCCACCAGAAAACTGTTCTGAAATAAAATTCTCTTTAAATCTTTTCATGGCTCTACATCACCAACAAGAGGAACTGCAAACCACTGAGCACACACAAAAGGTCTTCCAGTGTCTAGCCACCTACCGGCTGCGTAACCTTGGGCATCCCGTGCTCTTCGCCTCATCCATATTATGCAGGCCTGAACCAGAAGTTCTGTCAGGTCCCCTCTAATACTAATTGTTCTGCACTCTTATAGAAACACAGAACTTTGGGGCTCAGAGCCCAGTGATGAAGTGAGCCTCTCCTAACGTTCTTTAGGAATTTACATCTTCCAATCTCCCTGATGCTCTGAAGTATTCTCTGTTTTGACCTCAGACACCTGCTCCCCTTCCTAGAACCTTCCAAATAGTCTTGATGTCATAACATTTGTACTTAATCTCTCCTGGAATGCAGAAGTGTGGCCCAACAGGTTCTGGTAAGCCTTTGCAACACAAAGTGTGATTCCCAGCCCGACAGCATCAACCTCATCTGGAGTTTGTTAGAAATGCAGAATCTTGGGCCCACCCTAGAATTACTGAATCAGAATTTGCATTTTAGCAAGATCTCCAGGGGATTTGAATGTAAATCACATTTAAGAAACCCTGCTATAAACCACCATCTCTGTCCCTGTTGCCTCTCCTGAACTAAGACAAGTAGATTTTTACTCCCTCAACCCCTGACCCCTACAAATCCACTGATGTTCCGGGGTCTCAGAAACGCATCTTATTGCTTTGCCAGATGAGTGGGGCCTTGCCCAGTCTCCCCTGTTCTTACACTCAGTCCCTGGAAATGGTCCAAAACCACCATCACCACCTGCAGTTAGCGTCCTCCCTTGCCGTTCTCTCCCCCCATCCCAGTTCACGTCCCAGGAGCATTTCCAGCTGCTTCCCCTGAGCCTTGGGGTTTCTGCACAGCTGCATGCCTTGGGACTCAGAAATCAGCTCTGAGAGCTCCTCCTGAACCTAGGGAGTCTTTAGAACCTTGGAAACCCTAGTGTGTGGAGGCCAGAGCCCACCAGACCTCCTGAACCTGGGAGGCTGATTATGTGCTTTCTAGAGCACTTGATCCACCGAAGGCTCCTGAAATGCTCCAGCCATTTTCCCCCCAGATGCTGGATTTATGTCCTCTTTCCAGTGCTGGAAACAAATGGCTCCACCAAACCCTTTAAGCCAAGAGTGTGTTGACCTTGGTGATGCTGACCTGCAGAGAACAGAGGATGGAAAGGGCCAGCAATCTGCCCCTGTAAGAGTCACCATAGCCCCTTCCCTGGTTAGAGTACAGAAAGATAAAGCTTGAATTACACAAAGAATGGAAACTTGGGTCTCCTCTAGGGATGCAGGTTAGGCCAGTGTGGAGCCTGCTGTCTTCAATTCAGACCCAGCAATTCCAGTTCAGTCTTTGCCTGAGGAGTAAACATCACCCTTAAGGACCTCCTGGCCCACAGGGCAGAGTGCATTGCCCCAAGCAGCTGGCACTGCTGCAGGAAGGGGATGATATCCAGACTCTGTTGAGTATTGACCCTGTTCTGGGCATTAAGCTAAGCTCTTCAGAGACATATCTCATTTAATCTTCTCATTAACACTGTTATATAGAAATTATGATCGCGGTTTTGCAGATGAGGAAAATGTGTCTCAAGGACATTAAGTATCCTGTCCAAGGTGACTGCAACCACTAAGAGGAAAACCCGTCCCAGACTCCCATTTCACTGCTCCTTGCTTTGACCCAAGCTCAGGTGTTTATACTTTTGGGGGACATTTCTTCTTATTCTGAAGATATTAGAGCTCCTGACATTAACATAAAAACTTGCTTCCCAGTTTCTGAGCTTTCACAGTTGAACAGTCTTCTGTATCTTTGAAGTCTGAGGTCTGGCTGGGGATGGAGGTCCGGTGGAGACCAGTCATGATGCCCAAGAGTCTGCTGGGATCACTGCAGATGCCCCATTGGTTACCCCACAAGTCCTTGAGGAGTCAGAACTGACAGAGCCCCTCTCTTGCACTCCTGGGCTCTGATATCCAGCGCTCTGATGGGTGGCATTCCTGGAGATCCACCTGTGACTCCTCCTCTAGGTCTGCTATCATGCAGGGAGGAGATCAGAGCAAATGTGGTGTGGAGGGGGGAAAACTCAGGTGAAAAACTCACGTGAAAAAAATTAAAATTCAGATCAAAGAAGGCACTTGGATAGGGATTCTTGGGTAAAAGCCCACAAAGAACAGGGTATACAGAAGGATCTTTCGTCCACTAAAGAAGTGAGATTTAACATTGCTTTCACCATGGCCCTAGTGCTCCTAGTGGAGCCAGAATTTACCTGGTTTTCTGTCTCCCTGTTCACACTCCCCTGGTGGTATTGGCCTTACCCTGACATGGGAGAGCTATATCCAACATCAGTCCTGCCACAGGGAACTAAGAAGAGAGGAATGACACTTGGGCTCAAAGGTATTTTAAAGCTTAGAAAGTCCTGAAAGATTGCCCAATCCAAGCTTCTCATTTTAGGAAAAACTGGAGACCTGAGAGGCAAAGTGACTCCCGAGGTCATATAGTGAAGTGATGGTTGAGCAAGACTATGTCCCCCATGACTGTACCCTCACCCTTCTGTTGATGATTCTGCGAAGGGAAGAATAAACATACAGACAAAGGGAGTTTCTAAGATGAGTATTTCTTTTTTCTTTTCTTAAGACGAGGTTTCACTCTGTCACCCAGGCTGTGGCACAGGGGTATGAATGTGGCTCACTGCAGCCTCAACCTCCTGGGCTCAAGTGATCCTCCTGCCTCAGCCTCCTGAGTAGCTGGGACCACAGGCATACATCAACATGCCTGGCTAATTTTCTAAAAACTTTTTGTAGAGACAATGTCTCACTGTGTTGTGCAGGGTGTTGTCAAATTCCTGGGCTCAAGTGATCCTCCTGCCCTGGCCTCCCAAAGTGCTGGGATAACAACTGTGAGCCCACCATGCCCAGCCTAAGTTGTTAAGTATTTAGACTCAGAACACCTCTCCAAGCCAGCCCAAATCTGGCCCTTGTCCTCAGCTCCCCACATTAAATCATGCCCCTTTCCCCTCTCAGGGTGGCACTGGTGGGATTGGCCACCCACCTCCTCCCTGCAACCTCTGTAGTTCTGCTTTCTGTTCCTTTTTGGTGTCTGTCCCCACCACCGCAACTGGCCCACCCTCCCTCTTTCCTTCCTTCTGTGTCCTGCTGCGGTCTTCCCGCTGGCTCCCTGCATGCCACCACCTGCTCTGTCGGGGGAGAGATGGGCAGGGTCTGACAGCTCGGCAGCCTCCAAAGCAGGATCAGGACCACAGCTGAGGCAGAATGTCAGACACGTTGCAATGCCACCAGCATCTGCCCCAGGGGCTCCGGTGCTCCTGCTGACTCAGAACTGAGAGGCTGGATTCACATCCCTTTGCCCGCCACCAGAGTCCTGTACTGTCCTTTTGGCCATCCCTTCCCATTCCCAAGACCCCCTAGTCTGAATCAGCCTTTGTCTCTCCATGCCCAAGTTCTTAAACGCCATCCTCATCAGCTCCCCATCTCAGCTTGTCACTGCAGCCTGCAGTGTCCACTATGGCTAGAGACCCCACCGGCTGGCAGCATATCAGGTTTGTGTGAGTGCTCAGCAGAGTCTCCTGGCCCTCTCCCTCTCCAGCCCAGCACATTCGCTGTGCACACATCTGCTTCTAAGCCCTGCTTCTGGGGCTTGCACATAAGCCTCTGTCTCAGATGATAGAGGAGGACACCCTCCTTCATCCTTATTCTTGCCCTTAAATCCTGCTCATCCTTCAAGGACCCACTGGGTCCCCCTTCGGGCACATGGCCTTAGGCAAGTTCTTGACTGTCACTGAGCACACCTTTCTCTGAACTTTCCCAGCTCCTGGCAATGATCCCAGGCATGGGGACATTTCTCAGGAAACTTTACCTGTCCCTGGGTTGTCCTCAGTCTCATATGATCATTCTTCTTGTCCTTAAGTCTTTATTTATATTACGCAGCATGGCTTGGTGAGAAGACCTCGGACTTTGGGGTCCTTTAGGCCTGTGTTGGAATCCTGGCTTTGCCCCCTAAGCACTGTGTGAACTTGGAACAGTTTTGTAACTTGAGTGAGCCTCCAATTCCTGACCTGGGGATAAGAATACCTATACTTTAGGTTGTTCTGAGACTTGCAGAGACTGTACGTTCATTGTAGCAGCTAACATTCATTGACCCCTTCACTCTGTGTCAGATACTCTTCTAAGTACAATTAATAATGTCCATTTTATCAAAGGGAAACAGGCCCAGAGGTGAAGCAATTCAGCTAAGATCTCACTCCCAGAAAATGGCAGAATAAGGATTCTGACTTAGGCAGTCTGACTCCAGAGCCTAAGCCCAAATAGGGGCCACTGTGGCCATTCTCACATCTCCTCATGCCTGGTGCTGTGCCCACAGGCTGGGGAGGGCTGCAGGAATCTTGGAACCTGGGCCAGGCAAGGGGAGGAGTCCCTCTATTGTGTGGCATGGGATTACGACATGGCAAATGGAGCATAAGCCCCAAACCAGGTAAACCACACCATAGGAAAGGCTTTACCTGATGAGGGGGCCCACCCAGGATCTCAGCTTCCTGGCAGGGACCATGCAATCACACACACAAAATCCTGGCCCATATGAAGCTTGAACTTCTCCTTCCTCAAATTTTACTCACTACAATAGAGGCTTTCTTGGATTCATTTCTTTGTGGTAGCCACAGTGTGTGATTGACATGGGAGTGAATTAGAATCGGTAGCGTTTTGAGTGTTAATTGAGGCATTCTTTGCAATGCCCAAGCTGGCAGTAACATTACTAAGGCATTACTGTGTGGCAGGCTTTGCTAAGAGCTTCACATGTATTCTATGACTTCATTCTCATGAAAACATGATGCAGACACTATTGTTATCCTGCTGTACAGGTGAGGAAATGAAACTTTACACAATATTAAATTATTGGTCCAAGACCAAGCAGCTAGAAAAGGATAGAGCCAGGATTTGAACCCAGAGAGCCTAGCTCTAAAACTACCTGTGCACTTCAGGAGGCTTCCTGAAATACGGGAAAACTGAATACTGTTTTGGACCTAACACCCTGGACTGCTGTGCTTCTCAGTCTGGCAACTGCCTGCGAGACTGTAACTTAATGAAGATGATGATGTGAACTGCAGTTGGGACCAGAAGTAGATAGTCTAGCTAGGGACCGAGGGGCACCAACAAACCTCCTCTACCACATCCCATATGATGTTTCTCTCTTTTCTGTCTCCATGTGCCAAGATGTCTGGATTGGGTTCCCGTTTCACCAAGGTTTTATCTAAGTCCTCAGCAGAGGGTTAGATGGCTCACATGAGATTTCAGCGGCAGGAGCCAACACAACCTGGCTTCCAACCCAGCTCCCAGACCTACTAGTCACGTAGCCTCAGGCAGGTTTTACTACCTCTTTCAAAACCAAGTTTCTCCACTGTGAAATAGAGATAATAATAACACCTACCATATAGCACTGTTGTAAGAATATGCTTTTACAACACTTAGCCTGGCACCCAGCACATGGGAAGTATTCGGTAAATGGAATCTATTATTGTTCCCCTAGTGTTCCTTTATTCAAGTCATTTATTAGTTGATGCTTTTATTAATACATTAATTACAAATGCAACATTCTGTTCAGATGCGAAGGTAAATTAGATAGGCCTTACTTTTCAGTACAGAAAGACTTATAAGCAACTTAATCACAGCACAGGACAGAATGAAGTACTTGTGACATCACTGCCACCAGCTTCCAAGAGGGCCCAGAAAAAGAAGTGATTGATTATGACAAGAGACTGGGGTAGACTTTGTGAAGAAGGAATGACAGGGATTTCCATGGAAGAAGGAAGACGGGCTGGGGGAATGGCATGAGTAGAGCAGAGAATCAGCAGAGTGCATGGCGGGAGGAGCAAGCTGCCCAGTGTTACCGTCAGTGAGCGCAAGAGCCTGCTGCAGAAGCCAGCTGGGGACAGAAGGCGGAGGCATTGGAATGTGTTGACACAGAACCTCGACTTTATTCCACAGGGAGTCACTGATGATTCTTGAGGAACGGAACAGCATAATCCAACCTTTATTTTAATAAAATAACTAGAAACAGTAGGATGAATGGATTGCAGAAGAAAGATGATGGAGACAGGGCACCAGTTAGATGGCTAATGCAGCAACTTTCACCAGTGACTGATCATACAGTAGGCCCCCACTGGGAAAATATGGAGCAAATGTGTTATCCAGGCAGGGAAATGGGTTTCATAAAGGCATTTTATAAAGGTTTCTATGTAAATGGTTGGTACGAAAACTCTTGCCATCTTAAGTGTTGATCTTCAGTGATCCCCAGACGTAAGGTATTAGAAACATATTGACCAGATGCAGTGGTTCATGCCCGTAATCCCAGTATGTTTGGAGGCAGAGGCAGATGAGTCACATTTGAGCCCAGGATTTCAAGACCAGCCTGGGCAACATGGCAAAACACCATTTCTACAAAAAATACAAAAGTTATCTGGGTGTGGTGGCATGTGCCAGCTACTCAGGAGGCTGGGGTAGGAGGATCGCTTGCACCAAGGAGGTTGAAGCTGCAGTGAGCCATGATTATGCCACTGTACTCCCACCTGGTCAACAGAGTGAGACTCTGTCTCAAAAAAAAAAGAAGAAGAAGAAGAAATGTACTCTCCCATCGTGCCAGGTAATCATGTCGGGAAGAGGATTGATTCGCTCATTCTTCTAGAGTTTCTTGGCCAACCCCAGTGATCGTCGTATACTCTAATTCGGCATCAGTCAACCCAAAGAATAATGTATTAAGAATTATTATCTGTTTACGTCAAGTGTGACCTATATTTGGCTTGTAGAGTAAGGCTCCTTCTTAGCACCTTCATGTTTTTCCCAAGAGAGGGCGCTGCTGCCACCATTGTTTAAGATGTGGCCATTCCACCCCACAGTCTCCTTCCTGACCCCATTTCACCTCTGCAATTCCTTTGCTGGTGCCTCTGGAGAACCCAAATGTTTGACTCTCTGGATGGAGTCCATTGGTCTGCTGTGGGTAGAAATAACAATAAAATAAAACTAGAAAAGTTTCTTTTGAGGTTCTGGGGAATTTAGGAAAATCCACTGGGTCCTCTGTGGCAATGGCTGCTCATCGGGGCAGGAGGGAGCTGGGACCTTCTGTGGTGCTGTCATGGAGCCACTCTGTCACCTGGGCCTGTGTCTATTTGATTCCTATACCACCGAGTGAATCCCACCTCTAAGGGCAGTTTATGTGATAGGCTAGATGCTAAGTTTCTCATACTCTTAATGTGTTTTGGAGGGAAAGGGGTCAAATATTCACCTGGGCTGTCATAATTCAGCCTTATTTTATCAAAAGCTCATAAACTGCTTTTGGAAGCCACAATCTGTCATATCCATTTTTTTTTTTTGAGACGGAGTTTCGCGCTTGTTACCCAGGCTGGAGTGCAATGGCGCGATGTCGGCTCACCGCAACCTCCGCCTCCTGGGTTCAGGCAATTCTCCTGCCTCAGGCATGCGCCACCATGCCCAGCCAATTTTCCATATTTTTAGTAGAGATGGGGTTTAACCATGTTGACCAGGATGGTCTCAATCTCTTGACCTTGTGATCCACCTGCCTCGGCCTCCCAATGTCATATTCATTTTTATATGTCCATGCAGAGCCCAGGATGGCACCTGTCCCTGGAGCTCAAAGACAGGGAGGCAGCACCGTGGGGTGGGGGTCTCCGTGCATGCCTGTGGAAGGCACCTGCAGGGTTCAGCTCCAGGCTCTGTCATTTATTATACTATCTGACCCTGGCCATGTGACGTATCTGCTCTAGGCCTCAGTTTCCTCACAAGATTTAGGTGATTTTTTTTCTTTTACCTTTCCTTTTTTTTTTGGAGACAGGGCCTTATTCTCTCACCCTGGCTGGAGTGCAATGGCACTATCACAGCGCACGACAGCCTCAACCCCCTGGGCTCAAGCAATCCTCCTATCTCAGCCTGCCAAGTAGCTGGAACTACAGCCATGGACCACAATGCCCAGCTAACTATTTTATCGTTTGTAGAGATGGGGCCGTGCCATGTTGCCCAGACTGGTCTCGAACCCCTGGGCTCAAGCAACACTCCTGCCTTGGCCTCTCAAAGTGCTGGGATTATAGGCATAAGCCCCAACACCCAGCCCCTCACAAGGTCTTTGAGGGCAAGGCTAAAAGAGGACAAAGCTCTGATAATATTGTCTGGCACATGGTAAAGCACAGGATCATTTGCTTTTTCACAGGAAAAGTCGAAGTTAGATCCAGAGAGGACCACAGAAATGATTCCCTCATTGTATAGATCTGGAAACTGAGGCTCAGAGATGTTAGAGGTCTTGCCCACACTCCAATGCATTAGGAACAAAGCCTGGATAAGAACTTAGGTCTGTCTGACTCCCTGTCTAGTGGTCTTCCTACTACGCCATCCTCTGAAGTTCTTAGAAGCCACATAATATGAATTGTAGGTCTCTACTGGGAACCCAGCAATGTCCCTTAACAAAGATCACATACAGATCAGATGCACATTGCTCTGCCCGGTGGGACTTCTCTCTATGCTTTGAGAATTAAATTTTAAAAAGTCAAAAGTAAGTGAATATCTGATTGTAGTAACCAACCCAAGGTCAAGTATATAGTACCAGAAAGCCCAAAGGGAAGGGAAGACAGATGCAAGGTATGTGTGGACGCACTGGGGCTGGCCTGCTGAGGCTCATGCGTGTACCTTCTGCTTTTCCCATGCCATTGCAGAGAGCCCTGCTGATGAAGAGGAACAGTGGTCTGATGACTTTGTAAGTATTTGCTCCTGGGACTAGGAGGACATCAGGGTCCCATGGGAGGCCTTTTGAAAGTTTTGTTTCTGAACTACATGCTGGTGGTCAGCCGCACATCCCAGAGGGAACAGAGAGAGGGCAGGCTTGGAAAGATCACCTACAGGCAACATATACCGTATACCGGCTGACTTGACTGGCACTGTGCGCCTGGCTAAGAGCTTTCCATGCATGACCCCATTTAAACCTCACCACAGCAGCCCTTTGAAGTAGGTGTTCTTAGCCCCACCTTCAGGGCTGGTGTTCAGAGTACTCACCAACACAGGCAAAACAGGTGTCAAAATGTTTAAATGTTTCCATATCGGTTGGCAAATGCCTCTGCCCTAAACTCCCCAGTGTCCCATGACTGCCTGACCCCTGTCCGGAGCCCTAACCAAACCAACAACTCAAGAATTGGTGTCTGGCACATTAGGGGGCCTCCAGGACCAAGGTATAGAAAGTTTTGGTACCTTGCAGTTCCGCAGTTCAAACCCAGGCCCTCAGATCTCAGGACCTTGGTGGCTCTTCACCACTAAGGTGCTTGCTGTGATCAAGAGGACACTAGCAGAGCTCCAGAGGCCACAGAGTGAGAGAGGGACCTGGCCGTGATGGCACTGAAGAGGTATCAGAATTCCTCTCTGAGGCAGCTCTGAAATCTGCAAGGCCCCTGCACTCACTTATCCCTTGGGCTGAGTCATAGGAACAAGGCATCCTGAAAACTTTTCTTCACAATAATTATTCCTCACTTATATCAAATTCATCCAGAATGTTAGGCTGCTCCAGACTGTGAGTTTGAGATCTGGAAGGGACCCAAGAACTCTTCCATACAACCACATATCCATTTCACAGATAAGAAAACTGAGGCCAAGAGAATGAAAATCACTCATTTACGCAGTGACCAGTGGAATGAGAACCTAGGACTCAGACCTCCAGTCCTGTGCCCAGCTCTGGGCTGTGCACACTACCTGAAGTTTATACAGAGTCTTGGGAGACAGGAGTTCCTCCTTCTTCAACTGCAGGAAAAGAAAAGAAAAAATGAGGGGAAGAGGTGACTTTTCAGCCCATCTTTTGGTCATGGAGCTCCTCATGGGGCCCAGCAGCCACTGCTCCCTGAGACGCACTGCAGCTGCGCTCCCTGCTGGCCACACACACACACACACACCCCATAAATCAAAGAAATTGGTTGGTGCATATCGAGGTAAGAGAAGAAAACAGCACGCTGGCTGGATGAAAAAGAGCACACAGTGGGGACTTAGAAAACACACACTAAAATCATCCTGGAGAGGAGAAAATGACTTGCCCCAAAATCAAGCAACCAAAATAAGGATACCAGCTGTACTAAGGACGGAGTAGGCATTTACTCACAGCTCTTTTGACTTCAGTAGATAGATCCCCACTGAACACAGAATGAAATCCAGGCTTGTTACTGAAGCCTCCAGGCTTTCGTGATTTAAAAAAAAAATCGTGCTGGCTGGGTGCAGTGACTCACACCTGTAATCCCAGCACTTTGGGAGGCCAAGGTGGGTGGATCACATGAGGTCAGGAGTTCAAGACCAGCCTGCTCAATATGGTAAAACCTCATCTCTACTAAAAATACTTGCCGGGCATGGTGGCACATGCCTGTAACCCCAGATACTTGGGAGGCTGAGGTGGGAGAATTTCTTGAGCCTGGCAGGCGGAGATTGCAGTGAGCCAAGATCGCACCACTGCTTTCCAGCCTGGGTGACAGAGTGAGACTCTGTCTCAAAAAAAAAAAAAAAAAATTGTTATATGTTCTCACTCATTTGTAGGAGCTAAAAATTAAGACACTTGAACTCATGGAGACAGATAGTAGAATGATGTCTACCAGAGGCTGGGAAGGGTGGTTGAGGGGGCAGCAGGTGGGGAGGGAAATGGGGATGGTTAATGAGAACGAAAATGTAGTTAGGATGAATAAGAGCTAGTGTTTGACAGCACAACAGGGTGACTCCAGTCAACAATAATTTATTGCACATTTAAAAATAACTAAAAGAATGTAATTGGAATGTTTATAACACAAAACAGTGATGAATGCTTGAGTGATGGATACCGCATTTACCCAGATGTGATTACTACATGTTGTGTGCCTGTATCGAGACATCTCATACATACATATACCTACTATGTACCCCACAACTCTTTTGTAAAAAGACCAACAGGGAAAAAAAATCCTGCTATATAAAATTGTTCATGAAAGGTGACAGGCCAAAAAGCAAGTGGAAAGTCACATACAGATCATGCAATGTGACAGGCAGTGTGGTGGTGAACACAGAGGCCAGCGGACCTCTTATATCTAAATATCTCCTCCACATTAATGTATGTACAAACCGTATATACATAAACTACCTCTGAAAAACATGCACAAGAAGCCTAGTAACTCTGTTTGCCTCTACGGGGAGAAGCAGAGAGGCTGAGAAGGAGATTGCAGCTTACATCCTTCTGAGCTGTTTGGACTTTAGACCATGACAATGCATTTTAAATATGGACTTAAATAAAATGTGTAAAAAAAAAAAAAAAAAGGCTGACCAAGCGCAGTGGCTTAGACTGTAATCTCAGCACTTAGGAAGGCTGATTTGGGCAGATCACCTGAGATCAGAAGTTCGAGACCAGCCTGGCCAACATGGTGAAACCACTTTACTAAAAATACAAAAATTAGCCAAGCATAGTGGCGTGCTCCTATAATCCCAGCTACTTGGGAGGCTGAGACAGGAAAATAGCTTGAACCCAGGAAGTGGAGGTTGCAGTGAGCCGAGATCATGCCACTGCACTCCAGCCTGGGAAAGAGTGAGACTCTGTCTCAAAAAATAAATAAATAAATAAATAAATAAATAAATAAATAAATAAATAAATAAAGAGAGTAGACTGAGACCATTTAAAGACTTAATCCTGCAGCTTACCAACTTTGCTTGAAATTTTAAAAAAATCTCATCTGAAAGATAACTAGCTGGCCCTGTGTATCTCTTCACCCTCTTCGTATTAAACTTACTTTCACTTCAGTTATCAGCATTCATAATAGATAAAACCCATTGGTTATTCTATTTTATTGGGTCCTTCTTCTATCTTTTTTTTCTTTTTCTTTTTTTGGGACAGGGTCTTGCTTTATCACCGAGGCTGGAGTGCAATGGCATGATCTCGGCTCACTACAACCTCCACCTCCTGGGTTCAAGCGATTCTTCTGCCTCAGCCTCCCAAGTAGGTGGGACTACAGGCATGCACCTCCACACCCAGCTAATTTTTTTTTATTTTTGGTAGAGATGAGGTTTCACCCTGTTTCCCAGGCTGGTCTCCTGAGCTCAGGCGATCTGCCCACCTCAACTTCCCAAAGTGCTAGAATTATAGGCATGAGCCACCACGGTAGCCCCTTTTTCTATCCTTTTTATTTATTTATTTATTTATTTTTTTTTTTTTTGAGACAGAGTCTCACTCCGTCACCAGGTGCCAGACTGGAGTGCAATGGCGCGATCTTGGCTCACTGCAACCTCCGCTTCCTGGGTTCAAGCAATTCTCCTGCCTCAGCTTCCTGAGTATCTGGGATTACAAGCACGTGCCACCATGCCCAGCTAATTTTTGTATTTTTAGTAGAGACGGGGTTTCACCATGTTAGCCAGGATGGTCTCGATCTCCTGACCTTGTGATCAGCCTTTTTAAAAATAGGTTTTATTATCCCCTACTGTTATTCCTTGTGGATCTACAGAGAGTCAACTCCCAATAGCGTTAAGTGGTTCATGTGTACCCCCAGGACAGCACAGTGGTTGAAGGGATAAACTTTGGCGGTAAAAATGCCTGCTTCAAACCCCAGCTTTGCCTCTTACCAACTGCCTAGCCTTGGCAGCTTCTCCAAGTCTTGGCGTCACTGCTTCAGCCTCCCAAGGCAGCAATGGTCCTGACTATGGCGAGGGCAGCACAGACAGGGATGCCAAGCACAGTAACTGCATTGCACTTGCAGGACAGTGACTATGAAAATCCAGACGAGCACTCGGATTCAGAGATGTACGTGATGCCTGCCGAGGAGAATGTGGATGACAGCTACGAGCCGCCTCCGGTGGAGCAGGAGACCAGGCCGGTTCACCCAGCCCTGCCCTTCGCCAGGGGCGAGTATGTAGGTGAGGCCCCCTGCAGACCTGGGCACTCTGCCTTCCAGGCCCATGAGACGGTGGGGTGGCCGAGATTGCAGGGTGGGAGCAAACGTGGCTGCTGCCTGAGGGCTTCTGCCTGCCTCCCACTCCCATCACCTCCGAGCAGGGGTTCTGGTCTCTCAGTTAATGAAGCTCAAGCTATAAGGGTTTCTCATTCCAGGGGAACGGGCATCTTTCCTAGATTGGGAACATTGAAAGCAGCCAAAAATAAATAAATAAATAAAACCAGCATACCCTGATCATTGTGCCCCCTGACCAACAGTCACAGGGAAAGCAGCCCTGAGATTAGTCCCCACTTTTAGTGCTTCATGTGCTCCAGATGCTGGAATTTTCCTAAAGTCTGTACAGAACAATGACCTTCAAGGATCCCAGTGTCTGCCTGTCCTTATTCCCATGCCTAGTCCAGACTGTGGCATTTTACCAGGGGGTACAGGTGCTCAGAAGCCCCAAGCTTGGAATCAGCCTCATGCGTTAAATGGACACAGCTAAGCTTATGTCTGGGCAGACACTTTTTCTTTCTTTCTTTCTTTCTTTTTTTTTTAGACAGAGTCTTGTTCTGTCACCCAGGCTGGAGTGCAGTGGCATGAAGTTGGCTCGCTGCAACCTCTGCCTCCTGGATTCAACCTCCTGCCTCAGCCTCTCAAGTAGCTGGAATCACAGATGCCCACCACCACACCCGGCTAATTTTTGTATTTTTAGTAGAGACAGAATTTCCTCATGTTGGCCAGGCTGGTCTCGAACTCCTGCAGTGCACCAGAACTATGCTAAGCACTGAGCATTCAGCTGCAAGCAAGACGGACAGACTCCCAGAGCTCTTCTCATTTACAGTTTAGGGCTTTCCCCTGGGAGTCCACTTAGCCCCCCTCAATAATCTTGTGAAAGAGGTCAGAGGAATGAACTGACTGGGCCAAAGTTCTCTAAGTGACGGAGCTGGGATACAGGCCAGGCCTCTCAGCTCCCGAAGCCCAACTCTTCACAACTCTGCTCTAGGTACCACTCACCATACTTGCTGAACGACCTTTTTCAGTCATCATAGCAACCCTGAGAAGGAAACAGCTGCTGCAATTCAGGGTGGTTAAGTGGCTCATTCAAGAGCACACTCTTGGCTCGGCACAGTGGCTTATACCTGTAACCTTGCACTTTGGGAGGCTGAAGTAGGTGGATCACCTGAGGTCAGGAGTTTGAGACCAGCCTGGCCAACATGGTAAAACCCCTTCTCTACTAAAAATACAAAAATTAGCCAGGCATGGTGGTGGGTGTCTATAATCTCAGTGACTCTGGAGACTGAGGCAGGAGAATCACTTGAACCTGGGAGGCAGAGGTTGCAGTGAACAGAGATCACACCACTGCACTCCAGTCTGGTCAGCAGAGCAAGACTCTGTCTCAAAAATAAAAATAAAAAATAAAAATGGAGGAACGATCCAAGATGGTCGATTGATAACAGCTCGGGATTGCAGCTTTCAGTCAAAGCGCAGAGGACTAGAGGACGCCACACTTTTAGACAAATTCTGGTCACTCCTGGAGCAGAAGATCCCCAGTGGAGGAACCACACGGGTCGCCAGCGCGACTCTTGTGGCCAGTGCAGCGGCTTCGCCGGCACCTCGGTGCGGCAGCTCTTGGAGCAGAGTAAACAGGGCCGGCTCCCCTTCTGACCGAGATTTGGAGGACCCACACGGGTCCCCAGCACGACTCCTGACAGCTGGCGCAGCGGCTGTGATCGCACCTCGGCGCGGCAGCTCTCGGCGCAGAATAAACAAGACTGGTTCCCCTTCTGACTGAGGTTTGGAGCCCGGGGAAGGCAGAGTCGCCCATTAGGGACACAAGAAGGAAGCCAGACAGGAGAATCCTGGGCAGAAAAGCACCATCAGTCTTAACACCTCCGTTCTGGCCCTGGGAACTAACAACTTGGACATCCAATCAAGAGACCTAATCTGAAAGTTGGTAATTTCAAAGACGACAGGAGGATAAATTTACAATAATGGGAAGAAACCAGCGTAAAAAGGCTGAGAATACTCAAAATCAGAACGCCTCTCCCTCTAAAGATGATCACAGTTCCACATCAACAATGGAACAAGGCTTGACGGAGAACGAGCACATCCCAATAAGTTTCTTATTATCTTCAAGGAATGGATAATAAGAAACTTCTGTGAGTTAAAAGAACATGTTGTAGCCCAACATAAAGAAACTAGGAACTTTGAAAAAAGGTTTGACGAAATCCTATTGAGAATAGACAACTTAGAGAGGAATATAAGTGAATTAATGGAACTGAAGAATACAATACAGGAACTCTGAGAAGTATGCACAGGTTTAAACACTTGAATTGTTCAAGCAGAAGAAAGGATAACAGAGGTCAAAGTCCAACTTAATGAAAGAAAACAAGAAGACAAATTAGAGAAAAAAGGCTAAAAAGGAATGAGCAAAGTCTCCAAGAAATGTGGGACTATGTGAAAAGACCAAATTTACGTTTGATAGGTGTACCTGAATGCGACGGAGAGAATGAATCCAAGCTGGAAAATACTCTTCAAGATATTATTCAGGAAAATTTTCCTGAACTAGCAAAGCAGGTCAATATTCAACCCCAGGTAATACAGAGAACACCACAAAGATATTCCTCAAGAAGAGCAACCCCAAGGCACATAATCGTTAGATTCACCAGGGTTGAAATGAAGAAGAAAATACTAAGGGCAGCCAGAGAGAAAGGTCAGGTTACCCACAAAGGCAAGCCTATCAGACTTACAGCAGATTTCTCAGCAGAAACTCTACAAGCCAGAAGAGAGTGGGGGCCAATATTCAACATCCTCAAAGAACAGAACCTTCAGCCCAGAATTTCATATCCAGCCAAACTAAGCTTCACAACTGAAGGAAAAATAAAATCTTTTATGAACAAGCAAGAACTCAGAGATTTTATTACCACCAGGCCTGCTTTACAAGAGCTTCTGAAAGAGGCATTACACACAGAAAGAAACAACCAGTATTAGCCTTACTAAAAATATAACAATAAGTAAAGAGCACCAACATAAAGAAAAATTTTCATCAACGAATGGATCAAACAGCCAGTTAACATCAAATGACAGTAATCCTAAATTTAAATCGACTAAATCCCCCAATCAAAGGACACAGCCAAAACCCAACGGCATGTTACATCAGACCTGTTTCACATGCAAGGATACACAAAGACTCAAAGCAAAGGAATGGAGAAAGATTTACCAAACAAATGGAGAGCAAAAATAAATAAATAAATAAATAAAAAGCAGGAGTTGCAATTCTCGTAGCGGATAAAATAGATTTTAAAGCAACAAAGATATAGTGGTAAAAGGATCAATACAACAATAAGAGCTAACGATCCTAACACCCAGATACATAGAGACTAAGATTCAATGAGACAGAAAATTAATAAGGATATCAAGGACTCAAACTCAGATCCGGAACAAATAAACTTAATAAATATTTATAGAGCTCTCCACTTCAAATACATAAAATATACATTCTTGTCAATACCACATCACACCTACTCATAGGTTTAAATGAAACATTGATTGGCCATTATTAATACCCATTATTTTTCAGAATAAAGCAATATTTCCGTTCACCCTCCCTCCCTCTCTTCCTCTTTCTTTCTCTCCTTTACTCATTTTTTTTTCTTTCCTTCTCTCAAAAAAAGAAATCAACTTGTAAACCTCTAGATCCAGGTCGGCAATGTCTCTCTCAATGCTTGAATTCCTTCCTTCCCTTCCCTTCCCTTCCCTCCCTCCCTCCCTCCCTCCCCGCCTTCCTCCCTTCCTTCCTTCATCCCTTCCTTCCTTCCTCCCTTCCTCCTTCCCTCCCTTCCTGCCTTCCTCCCCTCCTCTTTCCCTCCCCCCCAAAAAATAAATAAAATAAATAAAGAAAAATAAAAATGAAAAATGTGAGTCCTGGAGAGGTTGAATAATCAGCCCCAAAGAGCATAGCTAGTGAGTGGCAGAGGAGGGGACAGAACCCAGATCCAGTTGGCCTCAGAGCCTGAACTCCTTTTCTGGTACCTGCTGAGAAGGACAGTCCTGGACTAAAGGAATCCCACAGATTCCTTGTGAATGGAGTGAAATCACTGAGGGGAGGAGCATGGAGATGGACCTACATGAGTAATCACCACCTGGGTACACTTTAGCATATCCTGGGGAACTTTTCCAACCCGTAATGCCAGGCTCCTCCCGAGGAGTTTAAATATTGCAGGTTAAGCCCATGCCTTGGCGTCTTTAAAAGCCAGGAGCACCCCACCCCTGCCCCATGGCCTCCAGCGCTGCTTCCATCCCCTCTGTGGGGCCAAGTGTTGGGCTATTGGCTCTCCTGAACCTCTGGATTTCCTTCACTGCCCTGGAAGGATGTTTTTGATGAGGATATTCTTCCAGTTTTTGTCATTTAAGTCAATGGGCAGTTGAAATTTTTGGCCTGACATTTCACTTTACTCTTTTAAGGAATGCCCCGTGGGTCATATGTGGCTACGTAGACAGACACCCATGCTTTTACAGTTTCTAGATCTCAATGGCTTCCACCCAGGAAATGACCCAGAACCTCTTTTATGTTATTTTTTGTTTGTTTGTTCCTTTCAAGACAACCGATCAAGCCAGAGGCATTCCCCACCCTTCAGCAAGACACTTCCCAGTAAGCCCAGCTGGCCTTCGGAGAAAGCAAGGCTCACCTCCACCCTGCCGGCCCTGACTACTCTGCAGAAACCTCAAGTCCCAGCCAAACCCAAAGGCCTCCTTGAGGATGAGGTAAAGTAAATCTGTCCCAAGGCTTCCCAGGACACAGGGCAGTCGGGGGGTAGGGGGGAGCAGCCAGGACTAGCTGTCCTCCTTTACAACCTGCTCTTGACTGCCCCCTCTAACTCTCCACTATGATACCAAAGGAACTTGGTTTTCTCTAAAATGGCTTATTGTAAGCATGTCAGTTTACCAGAGCTGTATGATAAAATGTCAGTGCCGAGTCTCATATTATCCCCTCCTTCTTTCCTGTGGCTTCCTGTGAATCTCTTCTTTCCTACATAAGATGTTCTTCCCCTCTCTTTATTCTCCTTTGCTTCTCTGTCCTGTTGTTACCGACAGCAAATCTGTACAGGGCTGCAGCAACCTCAACTTTTGCCTCCTCAGAAGAAAGAATTTAACTGAGGGGCATAAGGTAGAAGGAGAAACTGAGGCAAGTTTCAGCGAAGGAATGAAAAGAAGTCAAGTACACTTAGAAGAGGGCCAAGCAGACGACTGGAGAGACTGAGTGCACTGTTTGACCTTTGACTCGGGGTTTTATATGTGGCCATACTTCTGGGGTCTTGCGTCCCTTCTCCCCTGATTCTTCCTTGGGGTGTGCTGTCTGCTTGTGAGTCTGGGAGGTGAGCATGCACAGTGTTTACCAGAGCTGTACCCACGCTCCCTTGAGGCATTCTTGCCTTACCAGCCGAATGTTTGTAGAAGGTCAAATACCAGTTAAACGCTGACATTTTGCCTCTTAATGCACATGCTTGACCACACTTGCCCAACTTTTGAGATCGTTTCAGGAAACAGCTCATCACCAGTTTCAGGTGTTTTATATCTATTAGGAGACTGCCTTTTCCTGGTGCAGGCTATGACCAATTATTATTTTAGAGAAACAGTTAACAACCACCTGACTATCACCTGATGGTTGCCTGACAGTCCTGGAGCAGGAGAGCCCTCTCCTGCCCTGGTCATGGCTGGCTAGCTGTTATACCCACTGTAACCCTGTCTCCACCTTGCTTACCATACTCTGGATTCTTTACAAAAACCACTTTTCTAGTTTCTTCTGAAAACTGAAGATCTGGCAACTCCAGGCCAGCTGTGGCCTCAAAGCAGCTAGGCCCCAGGGCACCCCGCCCCTCTCAGCTGTGAGTCCCTTGTCCCTGTTTTGATTTGTCATAGTTTCCACAGCATACAGTACATATACACACCCTCACCCTGCACACACTTCTCCCATTACCTACCTGTCTGAGAGGTGATGTTGTCTTTTCAAGGGTGGGAATAGAGTGGCAAGAAGAAGCAGAGCAGGGGAGGGGACAGGTGGGGGAGACCAGCTGTTAGGGTCTCACTGTAAATTCTTTCAACATTTGGCAAATCCATATGAAGACACAAATTCAGATATAGAATGCAAATGAATACTGCAGATTATGCAAGCCTCTTCATTTCTGTAAATAACTGAGAATGGACCCCAGGGAGGCAAGGCAGAGTTTTGCTAATAGCAGCCTTGTGGAGGTGGCTCAGGCAAGTCCGCATCACTGGGAAAAAGAGAAAGATGAAAGTGGGGGTGTTCTGGAATGGGCAGATGGAGAGCCGATATAAGAAAGGTGTGAAAACAAACAAACAAACAGAGGCCAACATTAAGATGTGGCTGAATCATTAGCTGGGAAAAGAAGAAGTACAAGCATAAATAAAAATGTTTAACCCTGCTCTACAGGTTATAGGCAAAATATAGAGATACAGGCCAAACAGAGAGCTGGAGGCGGGGCAAAGACACTTGTGGGGAAGGAGCATCTGTGCTATAATGAGAGTGACTAACACTTGGTGAATGCTGTATATCCACTGGTGTTCTGATTCATTATCTCATCAAATCCTCACATCAATTCTCTGAAGTCTGTCATCACCCCCACTTTACAGATGGGGAAACAAAGGTGCAAAGGGGCTAAACAAACTTGTCCAAGGTCACAGAGGGAATATACTTGGCTTAGAGGGTATTGTTGTTAGAATTCAATAAAATAATGTATGTAAATCTTTTAAATGTTCGTATGAGTGGTTATGAGGATGCAGCTCATATGGGAGTTTAATAGCTAATCAAACGGACTCCTGCTAAGTAATAGGATATGGGGCAAAGGGAAAGTGAAAATAAGATAAATTCATGCCATCCCTATTTGTTAAATCTGTAGTCCTAAGGGGAGGCAAACATGTAAACACTATGACAAGTGTCTTATTAATACTGAAACATCTGAACAGTGGAGTTGATCAAAGATGATTTTTAATTTTCAATCATGTCACTGTAATAATTGAAGAAGGATTTCTTGTACCTGTAGGTCATGATAGTAGAATAATCTACCTGGCTTCAAAAGACTGATCACTGATTCACTAAAGTCAAGTTTTTTTGTTTTGTTCATGAAATAATGGGGTTGATATTAAAACATTGCAACAGTGTCAACGTGGTGTTATTAGGATATAAAATGTGTTGGTTCCTGGTCATTTACTTAGTTCAGCAATGATAACTTTAAAGCATTGAACTGCAATGCCGGAAATATACATTGTACATTCCTTCTCCTAAAACCCTCTAAGATGAGAGAGTTGGGCAGTCACTACAAACAGAATTTGTTGAGATTGAATCAAGTCTGTTTTCCATCATTCTTCTTTTGGAATACAAATGTATCCATTCTAGAAACGTCGTTGAAGCGGCATCATGGTCTGGGGTAAATACCCAGGGTTCATCGTCTCGCACCAAGAACATTAATGACACGGACACGTGTGGGTGGGTTAAGGAGCAGAAAGTTTAACAAACAGAAGAGAGAGGAGAGCATCTCTCTCTTGCAAGACAGTGGCATCTGAAAGGGAAAACTGGGCCTGCAGTGTACCGTAACGGGTTTTATAGGCAGGCTTCAGGAGGCGATGTCTGATTCACATAAGGCCCACAGATTGGTTTGATCAGGTGTGACATTTACAGGGTGGGGAAGAGGCTGGTGGCTCTACCCTAATCTTAATATGCAAATGGGTTTTCTACTTGGCCAGTGTCATCTTGTCTGCTCCTTACTGTACACGTAGCTGGCAAAAAGAAGGGATGACAGCCACCATTTTGATCATGCCTAGTACAGGTAGTATTTTCCTATTGGCACAACCGCCGGCACTCACCCACACAAGCTTCCAGCTTGCTTGCCTATCTGCAGCTTGATTTTACAGGCTGCTCTTGGTTAGAAAAGAAAACGATTTTGGAGCTGCTTTTTATTAACAGGAAAGCCTTACCAAGGACAGCTTGCCTTCACTATCTGCATAAGTAATGTTTTCTTAACTCCTGTATCATCATCACTCTAAACAGGTCAGATCCTGAACACTGCAGATAAAAACATTTTCTGTAATCAAGCACTAGAACAAAAAAGGACAAAACTGGGAATACAGAGGAAAGAATAAATTTTGAAGTGGTTAAGTAGGACTGAGTTAGGGCCTGGAGTTTTCAACTTCCCTATATCCATTCAGACAACATTGCTGAGTGTCAATACCAACATTCTGTGTTCAGATATAGAATACTTAAGGATTTTGTTGACTACAGGGTTTCAGAGGATGGGCATGCCTCCTGGGGGTTCAGCCTCTCCTTTTATTGGAACTAACTACTAGAAGAGAAGTTGGGTTCTAATAAACCATGTCACTCTGGCTACTAACGAATCCAAAAAGGTGGACTCATGGAACCAAAAGGGTCCTGTGGGGATACCGCAGCCACTCAACATCCCATTATTCAAGGCTCTAAGTCAGCGTACCCAAGTCTTCGCTATTGGATTAGTCCATTTCAATTCAATTCAGTGAGGTATTTGACTGCTCAGGCACTGGAAACACAAATACAGAGAAGGAAGAGGCCCTGTCCTTCAGGAGTTCATAGTCTGACACCGTGGGGCCAGAGACGAAGCAGAGACTAGGACAAGGTTCCCTGTGCCACAGAGGAGCAAGTGCCCACCTTTGAATGGCAGAATCCAGGAGAACTTCCGATGATTCAGCAATTAACTCCCCCACAGGTCATACATCTAGAAAACAGCCAAGCACAGATTTCCTCCCAGGTCTGTCTGATCCCAAAGCCTCATCTCCTTCAGCCAGATCATATCTAAATATGACTACAGATTGAGATGTGGGAGTAGAATTGCCTGGTGCCTTTTGGCCAGGTGAGAGGTAAAGAAAAAGATGAGAAATAGCAATTAAATGAAAAGAGGGTAGATAAGACAGAAAGAGGAGGGGGAGGATGGAAGGTACTAGAATGTCGTACATAAAAGTATGGGTGCTAAATTCTTGAACTGCTTGAGTTCAAATCCTGGATCTACCACTTTTTTTTTTTTTTTTTTTTTTTTTTTTTGAGACAAGGTCTCTCATTCTGTTCCCAAGGCTACAGTGCAGTAATGAGATCATGACTCACTGCAGCCTCAGCTTCCTGGGCTCAAGCAACCTTCCCACCTCAGCCTCTGGAGTAGCTGGGACTATAGGCACACACTACTATGTTTGGCTAATTTTTCTATATTTTTTGTAAAGACAGAGTTTCACCATGTTTCCCAGGCTGGTTTTGAACTCCAGGACTCTAGCTATCAACCTGCCTCAGCCTCCCAAAGTGCTGGGATTACAGGCACGAGCCACTGTGCCTGTCTGGGTCTACCACTTTTAAACTTGAAAACTTGAGCAAACTACTTAATATTTCTGTGCCTCAGTTTCTTCATCTTGAAGTGGACCTCACTTGTTGTGTTGCTAGAAGGATTAAATGAGAAAACACACGTAAAGCACATAGAAGAGCACCCGGTAATAAATTTTTGTTCTTGTTTCTCCCAGTTCCCTACTTGGCTGCCCACCAGGGCAGTTGGTAAAAACCACTTCTGAGATCTGGTTACCTCATTTGTGTCTTGTCAATATAAAATCCCTCCTTCCCTACATTTATGGTCATTAAATTATTGGCAAAAGTGTTAAGACAATTCGATGGAGAAAGAATGTTTTTTAAACAAATGATGCTAGGTAAATGGTGCTAGATTTATCCACAGGCAAAAGAATGAAAATGGATTTTTAATCTCACACCATAAACAAAAATTAACTGAAAACATATCATAGAACTAACTGTAAGAGCTAAGACTATAAAACTCTTAGAGGAAAACACAGGTATGAGTCTTTATAGCTTTGGGTTAGGCAATGGTTTCTTAGATATGACACTAAAAGTACTTTCAGATGTGACACCCAAAAGTGCTTTTGGTACTTTTATACCAAAAGTACAGACAATAAAAGAAGAACTAGATAAATCAGACTTCAAAATTTAAACATTTTGTGCCACCAATGATACCAATAAGAAAGTTAAAAAGCAACCTACAGAATGCAAGAAAAGTTTTGCAAATTGTAAATCGGATGAAGAACTTATAACTAGAATATGTAAATAACTCACAACTCAATAAAAAGATAAATAACCCAATTAAAAATGGGCAAAGATGTGAACAGACATTTCTCCAAAGAATATACAAAAATCGACAATAAGTATATAAAAAGATACTCAACATCATTAGTCATTGGGGAAATGCAAATCAAAAGTATAATGAGATACCATTTTGCTCACACAAGGATGGCTGTAATGAAAAGGTTGGTAACAAGTGTCAGTGAGGATATGGAGAAACTGGAGCCTTCATACATTTCTGGCATGAAGGAAAAATGGTGCAGCCACTTTGGAAAACACTTTGGCAGTTTCTCCAAGTGTTAAATGCAGAGCTACCATATGACTCAACAATTTTCACTTCTAGGATATTCCCAAGAGAAATGCACGTCTACACAAAAACTTGTACGTGAATGGTCATGCAGTCTTATTCATTACAGCCAAAAAGTGGAAAAAACTCAAATGCCCATCAGCTGATGAATGGATAGACAAATGTGTCATACTCATAAAATAGAATATTATTTGGCTATAAAAAAGACTGGAGTTGTGATACATACTGTACCACAGGAAAACCTTGAAAACATTAAACTAAGTGAAAGAAGCCTCAAAAGACTACAGATTGTGTCATTCCATGGATATGCAATGTCCAGAATGGGCAAAATCTATAGAGAAAGAAAGTAGATTTGTGGTTGACTAGGTCAAGGGAGTGGCGGATGGGGAGTGACTAATGGGTGCAAGGTTTCTTTTTGGGGTGATAAAAATGTCTGAAAATTAGATTGTGGTGATGGTGGCATACTTCTGTGAATACACTAAAAGTCACCAAATTGTACAATTTACATAGTAGAATGTTATGGTACGTGAATTGCATCTCAATAATGCTTTTTTGAAAAATCACTCCCTCCCATACAGTCAACTATGTATGTACAGCATTCTCCTCATTCAGTTTTATATTTCTCTTAGGCTGATTATGTGGTCCCCGTGGAAGATAATGATGAAAACTATATTCATCCCACAGAAAGCAGCTCACCTCCACCTGAAAAAGGTAAGAGTTTGTCGTTTTAAGCACCTGAAAATTTTTAGTAGTTGATCGGGATGTCCAAGAGTATTTGGTAGTAAGCACTTAGAGGCTCAGAAATCTTAGGGCCTTTCTCCCCTGGGGCACAATATGTGCTTCTTTGCCTGGGTAGGCAGAGAGCATCAGTGACAATCCATTTCTGTGTTTCATAGCCCTTCCCTGCCTTCCCCTTCCTCTTCCATGATTTAATCCTCCCATCCCAAGTTATAAAAGCACCTGCGTGGCTCTCTTCAGCTGCCCTCGCTTCAAATGGATTTCTCATAAAACCTAACACAATGTCGCAAGCCACCACGTTGGCCTTGTAAACACTGCACCAGGAAAGGTTTCTGCAGAGGAGTGAACAAGAAAGAGTGAAATATGCCGAGTCCTGGTTCTTTAAATTTAGCAATATGTTATGCCTACGAGAAACATTTCATCTGTAAACGCTTCGCAGCACAACAAATGCTGTGACAAATGAATCACCTTAAAAAGCCAGTGCTACGTAAGATTAGGCATGGAAACGGGTATGTTTACTGTGGATATAGTCACTATGGAGAATAGGATCCAGTACGAGTGATACTTCTTCAGGTGACATTACTCTTCTAGTACTCCCAGCTCCGTGGTAGCCATATTCAGTTTTAGGCTGCCGTCATGTAGCAACCTCCCCCGTACTCCACACCTACCACCAACAGCTTCAAGACCCACCTGAATTCCCAAGCCATTCATTACCACAAAACAACAAATACACATTCCCTCCTTCCCAACCCCTCTTAAAAATAAATAAGTAAAATCCAAAAGCAATGGTGTATTGCATGTGGTAGGGGTGGTGGGGCTGTCAACTGGGCCTCTCGAGTAAGGGGTTTGATACACTCTTGATGAGAAACAAAAACAATAAAACTCTTTTATCTCCTGACCTCCCATTTGGCAAATAAAATTTCAAGTCATTATTCACTTTAACATGATCCCTACCATCAAGTAATCAAATAATAATATATCAAATTATAACTCTATCACTGATATTTCCATTCTAAAGATATTTCTTCTGAGAAGGCTTCTTTTATTGGTTTGCGTGTCTAACAAGTGTGTCTCTCATTCTTTGCAAATTCTCTGGGCTGATCATCATTTTTCCCTGAGTGTGAATTTCCCTAAGTGGCATGTGTTTGTAATGGTTATACATATATATATATTTGTGTGTTTAAGCTCCCGTGGTGAATAGAACAACCAAGCCAAATAACTCCTCAATGCCGGCCTCTCCCCTGGGAACAGCTTCAGGTAAAGTATATGTGTGATTTGGTTTGGTTTTATGTCTATTCCAAATAAGAAAAACGACTTAGATCAACTATGAAAAAATAATCACTTGTATTTCCAAATGTTTTCATCATGGGAACAGAAGACCAGTCCTCATTCTCATGCACTGTCTGGTGGCACGTGTGTGGAAGGGACCATTTCCCAGGCCCTTTGGCATCTGCTAGACAAGTTCTGGTTTTCCTCTACCTTCCTGCACACATTACTGGCTTCTCTGTCTCCCCTCCCCTGACTGAGAGGGTCCCAGAGTTTAGCCCTCAGCCGTCAACCCTCAGTTCTTTCAGAACTTCATGATGGTTACAAGCTTGGTTTTGAGCCAGACAGACCTGGGTTGGAACTCCAGCGTGCCCCATTACCAGCTGTGCCACCCCGGGCTTGTGCTTTGCCTCTTCAAGCATCAGATTTTCTTGTCTGTAAATGGAGCTCATAGCCCCTACTCTGTGACAGAAGAATTCAGCAAATGTGAATGCAAAACTCTTAATGAGTGCCTGGCACAGAGGAGTGCTGAGGAGAGAGAACGGTTTTTCATTTCTGTAGATTTTTCACACTGATTATTTGGCCTCACGTCTCAAGTCCACACTGGTAACTCCCTGGCATCCGACCCTGACCTGACTTCCCTTCCTAACACCTTGGCACTCCCATGCAGGACTCTAAACTTGCTCCTCCCTCCCCTGCAGGCACCCCTGTTTCTCAATCCATACAGCCTCCAGGCTACATGCTCCACATCCTGCCTTTGTTCTCCTGAATTTGCTGTTCTATTTTAGCTGTGACCACCCTAGTTCGGCCTTTCTTCACTCTGCCAGCTCGCACCGTCTCCTCTGTAGCAGTCCACCAGCCACATCCCTGCCTCTCGGCTCTCTCCTCAGTGACAAGGGCTGAGCCACTGAACTCCTCCAGATGTTACCAGTTTCATCTCACCACAAAGCTAGTTTTTGCCATGTCACCCCTACCCCCAAGCCACGAATGTCCAGTGGTCCCTGGTTGCTCCTATAGGTTTTGGCAACCCCCAACGCTGAGCCCAGGATACTGAGGGGTGCCCATGATCCCCATTCACAGCACAGAGAGGTATAGGAGCTGCCTCTCCAGCATTCTCACAGGCATTTTTCTCCCTGTCTCCCTTTGCCCCTGTCCCCTATGCACACATATGTGGGTGCGCACACACACACACACACGTACACACACACACGTTCATACACACACACTGTCTTCTCTCACAGAGCTGAACACAAGTCACTGAGAGGCTGAACTCTGCTTCCAGAGACAAGCTCCTTGATAGAAAATGAAAGAAGAGTAGAGTATTTTAGAAGTCTTTTCCTGCACTAATTTCTTGTGAAATTATTCACTTTCTTCACAAGTTCTTGTCTTACTTACCCTCTCCCTTAGAACCCACAAGTGCTTTGTATGTGGGGAGTGGAGCTCAGAGCCAACTTAGCCAGCTCATCTTACCCTCCGGAGAGACAAAGACAAACATGCCAATCTAAAACATCGTGACCAGGTTGCTTAGGTCCCAGCTGAAACGGAGACTCCTAACTCCTGATAACTCAGGACAAGGCTGTTGTTACTGGAACAGAAAACTTTTAACAAATAAATAAATGAAGACCTCAACCCTCCTTTAGAAAAATAGATTACTAATATCTGGTGTTTGCGTCTTACAAAGCTCTGCTTGCCTTACAAGGACCTCCTCATCCTAAAACACACCCAATACTCCAATCAGCCTGTATTTCATGGGTTCTGTTTTTTGGTCTTTGTGTTGTCACTTTTATGACACCAAATCCTACCCATCCTTCAAGACCCGGCTTGAGGCCTCCACCTCCAGGAAGCCTTCTCTGGTTTCTGTAGCCCTCACAGAGCTTTCTTTTGCGGGAAGTCTCTTCCCCCTTACACTTAACCCATACTTATTCGCTAATTCCTTTGCATCTCAGTCTAATCTTCCTAAGTACATTGCAAGCTCCTTGAAGACCCTGCCTTCAATGTCACTGCTCAGGAGGCTTTACCTGGCCCCACTCTGGGACAGATCCCTGTAGTGCCCTGCACATGCCCTGAGATTTCTGTCTTTCTTTGCTCATAGCTAGGTTTCCAGGGCCTAGCCCAGAATCTGGCTTGGGGGAGGTGCCAAGATCGTGGATAGGTCAGTTGGTTGAGAGGGTGAATGAGTCCACAAACACTGGTTGTATTAAATATTTAAAGAATCACCACGGGGGCTTTAGCCCATTGGATTTATTACTCATCAGTTTGCTATTAACCTAGTATAGCTGTATTTTAATACTAGAGACATGAGATGACGAAAGCAAATCTAAACAAGAAAATAGTGTCCTGGTTATGTGATTTCCACATACAGGTGGGAGCACCTATATGAGAGGGGAATAAGTAAAATAGTTTTGAAGGGACAGTCCTAAACAGGCCGAGTGAGTTTCCGAGTGAGCAAATAGTGGAAACTTCAGAGATGATTTTTACAAAAGAAATGATCAGACTGTGTCTTTGAATAACCATCCATTCCCCTTTAAAGGGGTAGTCAGATAGTCCCCCAGTGGTCATCACAAAAGTGTCCGTCAGGTGCTAGTTGGTGTTTCTGTCAAAGCACCACACCAAGTCAGTTTCCTCTGGTCAGTATTGCTCTTGGTCCTTTGATAGCCAGTAAGGTGCCTGCCATGACACAGTAAATCTGGTGCAGTGACAGCCTCTGCCCTCCCCCTTGTGCTTCATACTAAGAAGCCAGTAGAATGGACTTAGCCCAGACTCCAAAGTCAGAGGGTCAGTTCTTGGCTCTGACACTTCCTAGGTGCCAGAGTTTGAACAAGTGAAGTCATCTCTGTTTCTTAGTTTCTTCCTCTGAAAAAATGGCACCTATGCCTAGGGAGATCATGAGTAGACATCATGAGAATTAAGTGACTCAGTATAGATGAACTGCACCCATAAAATGCTAGTGCCTTCTTATTATTGTTATTATTCAAAAATCCCGTGTTCAACGGGCCTTGATCCATGACCATTCTGGCAGAGATTCTCAGGGAACAATACTGTTTTGTATGTCACTGGTCCACGAAATAGGAGTCATGCTCCATCCTTCCCTAGAACTCTGTCTTCCTGAGGCAAGACCATAGGCTTTCCACCAGTGCTCATGCTATCCTCTGACCACCAGAAGTTATTCACAGGGAGGGAAAGGGAAAGGGAAAGGGAAAGGAAGGTATTGGCAGACTATAGGAGATACGCAAGGAAAGCCAGGTGGAAGGTCTGACAGAGACAACACAGTGAGCCAAAGAGCCCTCGGCATTTCAGAAGAGGGAAAACCCCTGGGATGAAATTCAGCCTTAGACCTTCTTCCTACTTTCTTATTTTTCAGACAAGATTTTGTTCCACTTCCCAGAGATCTTCCATCAGAATCGTATGAGTAGCCAAGGGTACTTTAACAGTGTCAGTCTTAAGTATTCCATTTGATACACCAGCTGCTTAAACACAGTGAGACTCCTACTACGCATTCAGGCGACATTTCCGTTTATTGTTTTCATGTTGTCACAAGAAATGTAAGCATTCTAAATGCAGTCTCTTTTCCAAAATGTTTCAAAAACTCACACCCAGTTCAGGTACAATGGAAGTCAGAGCTGTACTGAATTGTGCATTGCTTCCCAGGGTACTGGCCGCCATTAGAATCCACAGCACCCACTCTTTGCTGTTGCTCCCACCCATGAGGGTTTAGGGAAGGAGTCAGTGGGCTCTGAGTAGAAGCCTGGGGGCCTCTCTCCAGTAACGTACATGGGAACGAACTTCCTGATCTCTATTTCAATACTTTTTGAGGCCTTTTCTTCTTCTTGTTTGTGTTTGGATGAGATGATATGGGAGTGCATGTAACTTCCCTGTTATAAATTCTGAGAGGGCAGAGGCCTATGTCTGCTTCTTCACCTCTTCCTCTGCCCCTAACACGGTGCCTTCGTGTGTTTCACATGTACCAAGTCCTCAATAATCCTTGGTAATGGATCATTACTTCAGTGCGTGCTTATCTGTGTTCCACCTCATAAACTAAGACAGTCAGACTGAGGGCAGCAGGTCCAGCCTGTACGTGCAGAGTATTCCCTATAAGTCCATTAGGAATTGTAGGCCGGGCTCCATGGCTCACGCCTATAATCCCTTTGGGAGGCCAAGGCAGGTGTATCGCTTGAGTCCAGGAGTTCAAGATCAGCCTGAGCAAGAAATCCCCTATCAACAAAAAAATTAGCCAGATGTGGTGATATGCACCCGTAGACCCAGCTATTCAGGAGGCTGAGCAGGGAGGATCACTTGAGTCCAGAAGTTAGAAGCCTCTAGTAAGCTGTGATCATCCCACTGCACTCCAGCCTGGGTGACAGAACGAGACCCTGTATCAACAAAAAAAAAAAGAAATTGTGGACTTATACATGTAGTAAGTTCTTAACAAAATACTTACTCAGTTCGGTTGAATTAGTGAAGATCCCCCTTGGTCTCACTGAGCAATGGTGTTCAAGAAGGTGAGCATATTTGGCTGAGGCAGCTAGGGGATGCTGAGGGGGCTGGCTTGGCTCTGATCTCTCCCTGCAGCCCTGCCCTCTGTCCCACAGTAAAGATCCATCTGCTCTCTTTCACTTCCTCCCTCCTAATGATTATCTGGCTTCTATCTTCAGGAAGAGGAAGGGAGGCTGGGTGCAGGGACAAGACCCTTCAGGTCCCTCCGTGACTTGAGAAGAGGAGATTTGGGCAGCAGCCTGCACTTGTCTCAATTTGTCTATTAAGGAAAATTTGTGGGCAAACCTGAGAAATCAGAGATGAATGAGTAAATATCCTCCAAATGCAAAGTTAGAGGCATTTTCTATATTTAAATGTGCTTATAAAGGAGCAGTGTCTGAGGTCTGTGTCAGGAGTGGCAGGTTGGATCCTCTGTCTCTGGGCTTCTCTGCCATGCATATCTGTGCAGTGTGCACAGATGCAGGTGTGAGCTGTTGGCTCCCTCCTGAAGGACCTCTGTAGGGGTCCTCATTGGGCCCTCAGAAGCAGTGGGCTCAGGACTTGCCCCATGGGGCAGGGGTTGGGAGGATGGGTAAGGAAAAGCTCCTTTAGAAATGATAAGGTGGAGTCCCTAATCCACATCCCAGCTCTGGGCTTATAAACTGACACTTTGTAAATGTGTCATCTCCTTTGCCCACAAGTTTTCCTTAATAGCTTCACTATAACTATCTGTATATGCTTAAGTGAAAGCAACGCAATATGTGTGAATATTTCTGAGCCTGCCAGAAAGGCCAGCCTCACTATGACCATAAGCCCCTGGTTCAGGACTTGGGGACTGAGCAGTGTATATGTTTGTGCAGGTCGAAACAGTGGGGCCTGGGAAACCAAGTCACGTTTACCAGTTGCGCCATCCCCGTTGCCACGGGTAGGGTAAGTACCTATTGCAGGAAGAAGCTGTTGAGATCTAGGGAGCAGGGATAGTGATACCCCATTGCCCTGTTGACTTCATTAGAAGGTCTCCACCCCATGGCAGGCTGCAACTTGGACCGAGAGTAAGGAACCCTGCTAACATCAAATGAGCCAGGCATGATGTCTCACACCTGTAATCCCAACACTTTGGGAGGTCGAGGCAGGCAGATCACTGAGGCAAGGAGTTCAAACCAGCCTGGCCAATATGGTGAAACCCCATCTCTACTAAAAATACAAAAATTAGCCAGGCATGGTGGTGCACACCTGTAATCCTAGCTACCTGGGAGGCTGAGGCAGGAGGATCACATGAACCTGGGAGGCGGAGGTTACAGTGAGCTGAAATGGCACCACTGCCCTGACCAAGACTCCATCATAAATAAATATATAAATAAATCTAAGAGTATTTCCTCCTGTGAAATTTTAGTTAAATATTGAGTTCATTAACTTATAGTGTTCCACAAGATACCCCAACTTTCAGAAGTTCCAGCACCTGACTCATTTTCAGAGCCTCTAGCAGGATTCTGTAAATAAATGTGTAGACACTTTCCACCACGTGCTGCTCATACCGGGGCGCTCCATCAAAGCCATACCACTGAGGTTCCTCTCTAAAGTGACAATCATTCTTTCTTACCAAATTTAGAAGGGCTTTGTAAACGGTCAGGTGAGGATTCTGTGTTAATATTACAAACATCACCCTGTAAAATTATATTGTTTCAGTATGTTATTTGAAAAGCAAATTTAAATATGTCTGAAGCTGGCCTGCATGGCTCTCATCTTATTTCTGCCTCTGTGTAAACCAAAGAAAGCCTAAATGTCGAAGGTTTATTAACCAAGACTATGCACACGTCTCTCTTAGTTCAGCTGTATCACTTTGGGCAAGTGACTTCATCTCTCTGAGCCTCAGTTTCCTCATCTTAAAATGTCACTTTAAGGTTTAAATAACATGTGAAGAGCTTAGTCCAGTGCCAGGCATTTTACAGGTGCTCAGGAATTGTTAGTGTTCTTCCCCCACACTTTAGCTCTCAGCCAAAAACAAAGTGAGAGAGAGAGAGAGAGAGACGTAGTGAGGGTTTTTAAATTAAGAAATTTAAAACACAGAAAAGGAGCATAAAATCTTCCCAATGGTAGACTGTAGTCTCTACTGGAATTTGAGTTCACTGACTTACAGTGTTCCACAAGACACCCCAACCTTCAGAGGCTTCAGCACCTGAATCATTTTGAACTAGAACGTAGTGCAGGTAAGCACCTTCAGGACCACAAATCAGGGGTTTTCACTTGTTTTGGTCTCGGATCTCTCTGAATGAAAGCCTGCACAGAAGACCAGTGGAACATAGTCCCTAGAGGCAGGGAGGAAGCTGGAGTGGGCAAGTGCATGCTGGACCACCCTCTGTCCTGGGCAGTAACCCCCACAGGGAGCTGTTTTGGAAGAGGAGCGCTCCCCAGAAACACTGAAAACACCGATCTGGTCCTCAGTTGACAGGTGAGGAATCTAAAGCTCGGCCTTGCCTCACAGCCAAGAGAAAGAGGCCCAAGGTCACCCACTGAGTAATTAGTAGAACTGGTGCAAGAGTGCAGTTCTGCCAATTCCCTGGCAACTGGTGCCCTACTTTATCCCCAGCTGACCTCTTCCCCATCTGTCAGCAGACTCCGTCTGAGCCTAGGAGGATCATAACTAAATCTCACCTCCATCCCTCTCCACCCTGCAAGGATAGTCTTCTACACACTCGTATTGCTTTCATAACTCCAGCTTACATTTCAGACTAAAATCATGGTAAGTGGCTCCATTTTGTCTTCATTATCTTTTAACAAAGCTCATCTCTTTTTATTCCCCAGGAAAAAACCGACGCCACTGAAGACAGTAAGTTAATTTTGCATTTAAAAAGTGCTTCATCTTTACTGCAGTGTTTATTCTTACCCATTTATTTAAAGTTGAAAATGCTCCCAGCTATGGTGAACATGGCAATCTTAGCAACTGAAGTTGCTGCCCAAGCAGTCCAAGAGAAGCTCCGAATCCTCAGGTCGCCAGGGAGGATGCTGCATAGGGGGAGCTCATCCTCACTTGACCCCAGTAGCTTCACTGAGTATGCGCAGCAGATCAGAGTGGCAGCCAGGCTCCCTGCCCTCTGCACGGGAAGCCCCTGTGTCTACCACCACCGCAGCTAATGGTAGACCATTGCGTATCAAGCACACGTAGGCTCACTAAACTCAGATTCTGGCCAGAGCATGGTGAACCTGGGCCATGACACTTTGTAAGGAAGCCCACTGGGACCTTGTACCTACTGTGAAGCCTGACATCTACTGTCATTTAGCAAACACACAGAAGTGGGTCCATGAGACCAAAGCAGATACCAGATGCCTGCTGCGTAAGGGCTACTGTGTGGCAAACTGCTTGCAGGTCATGGTGTCCATCAACCCTGTTGACAAAGCAAGGTTTCTGCACCGCAGTGACTTTGCTCCTCCATATTTCACTTCCGGCTATTTGTTGCTTAATGCAAAGGTTTGGCGAGGGACTGTGGGTTTGTAATTGTTGTCGTGATTGAAAGAATAACAATGCATCAAAGTTCTCCCCAAATATTTATTTAATAATATTGCGCTGATGTTTATTTCCGCATTCTGCTAGGTTGAATATCCTTGCCTTTTTTTTTTCTTTTACATAGATTCCAGTTGCCTCTCAACAGAATGCTTCAAGGGTTTGTGAAGGTAAAATCTATTATTTTGGATGATGAGCACGTTCTTTAAAAGTTATTTTAATTAAGGAGTTGTATATACACATTTATGACATTATTTTTGGGGCAACTGTAAACATGAAACTCAATTTTCTAAACAAAATAGCCTTGCAATGAGCAGCGAATAGCAAAACTAGCTCAGAGCCTTAGCGTCTTTAGAGTAGGCTACAGAATACATGCAAAATCCTGCCTGTTGGCAGACGGTTATGACTTGCCAGGAAATAGTGCTAGGACCTTACATCGATGTGAAAATTAATGTAGAGCCATTCACATGTTTTAGAGCTAATAGCTTAGTTAACACAACAAAAATGTAAAAACTGTTTATTTGAACAAGTTTTTTTGCTAAGTTTCTTTTTGGGTTTTTTTGTTTGTTTGTTTTTGCTTTTTGAAACGGAGTATTGCTCCGTCACCCAGGATGGAGTGCAGTGGCTTAATCTTGGCTCACTGCAACCTCCACCTCCCGGGTTCGAGCAAGTCTCCTGCCTCAGTCTCCTGAGTAGCTGGGATTATAGGTGTGTGCCACCACGCCTGGCTAATTTTTGCATTTTGGTAGATACGGGGTTTAGCCATATTGGCCAGGCTGGTCTCAAACTCCTGACCTCATGATCTGCCCATCTCAGCCTCCCAAAGTGCTGGGATTACAGGTGTGAGCCACCGCACCTGGCTGCTCTTGCTAAATTTTCAAGATAATGTTTCCAAAGTTCAAATGTCTGTCTTAGTATGTATTCAGTTGCTTTTCTTCCTTTTTTTTTTTTTTTTGGTTAGGGTCTCACTCTGTTGCCCAGACTAGAGTGCAGTGGTACACAATTACAGCTCACTGCAGCCTCAATCTCCTGGGCTCAAGCTGTCTTTCTGCCTCAGCCCTCTGAGTAATCTAGAATTTCTTCCTTTGTCATCACTCAAAAATCTTACATATATTTTTAGAGCTTTCCCATGTTAAAAAAATTTTGTTTGGAAATTATCAGAAAAAAATAGAAGAATCATCTATAATATTAATACTTAAAACTTTATATAGAAGTTCATGTCCTGCACCCATTTAATTCCATACTTGAAGATACCCAAGGTTAAAAATGTAGTGAGTATTCTCCCCCTTCCCTGAGTTGATGTGCGTGTATCTACATAAAGCACTCTCATTTCTCTGATGATAGACAGTGGATCTTTTCTGAGCGTGCGCTACAACTCACCTCTCTGCTTTAACGATGTCATTAGGCTTTTTCATCCCATCTCCCACATCTTGCTTCCCCAGGCTGTTTCTGAGGCATCACCCCTTTTCTGCCATATTGCTTTCTTCTGCCTTCCCTTTGAGGCGTCTGTCTTTTCTGTCCTTCCAGTCCTTGCAGCTTCTCAGACCTGCTGAGCCCAGGTCGTGGAGTGATAGTGTCCTCAGGGGCTCTGAGCATCTGTAGGAATTAAGTACAACCCTGTGCAGACTTCAGGGCTATGGGAGCCTCCAAAACCCAGGAGAGAAGGGGGACCCATGGCCCGTCCCCTGCTGCTTAGGTGTCCTTATTCTCAAAGGGCTCCCAGTTACAAAGGAGCCTAGTAGGCTCCTTTGTTATTTGTTTCAAGAGCATAGGCAATTGCCATCCAAATGTAAAGCAAGGGAGTGGCCTCTTTTAGCCTTTGAAGGAACCCTTGAGGGTAGTGGAGGCAAAGCAGGTGGGGTCAAAGCTTATAGGCTGGCAAGACCTAAGGTGTTCGTTGTTTCTCCTTCTGAAATTACCAAGTTTTAAAGTCATGAGCAAAACATCTAACAGAGGTTTGAAGTAATTTGCCACAAATTCAAAATACAATCGTCAGAGGTTCAAGGTTTCCAAGATTACTGCACCACTGAATGGTAAGAAACCCTGACGTCTATCTTACCATTTATTTGAATCTTTGGGTTCTTACCACTTTTATTTCTGTTGGGTTCCTGTAGTTCTCAGCTTTTCTTCCATGCAGAGACTCACACATGGACATACCAAGATTTTAACACACCCCTCCCACAAAGGACAAATTTGAGGGAGAGTTAAGTATTAAAATAATTTGTGATCACATTTATTAATGGTTCAGGAGTAAAGTTCACTATGAGCTTCAACATAAATGTCTTACATTTCAGGTTTATGCCCTTTTCCCCCCTTTCCTCTTCTGCTCAGGAAAACACAGTGAAATGCAAGTGAGATTAACGTTATTATAGGGATAACCTTGAATTTGATCCAATTAACTTTGCAAAAAGAGATCATTTAGGAACTCAGTAGTGTGCGTCTTATCAGTCATACACTGCTTGTACCACGTCTTATGACTAATAAGACCCACCAGGGTGTTGTCTCCACCTGTGTGGAGGCCACATGGAAAGTAAAGGGTGAGCTGTTTAGAGGGTGGCTAAAATGTCCTCATCTTCTGGCTTCCACCCATACTCACGCACTTAAAAGTCTCAGGGCCCACAGCTTCAGTCTCTACATACGTTGCCAGTGGATGAACGCAGAGGCAGAAGGATGTACTTGTGTAACACTGCTGGGAGGAAGTCCTGGTCCTAATAGCATCAGAAGACTGGCAAGTGCACAGATCCATGGCATCCCAGTAAAAGACATGTTCCTGGGAAGACTTCTGATCGAATTTCGTTCTTCTCGGCTGATGTTGCTGGGTTTTGGGATGAGGACAGGCATTTCACTCTAATCCTAATGTGATAATTTTCCTGATCCAGAAAAACCTATACCTGCTGAACGCCACCGAGGGTCAAGTCATAGACAAGAAGCTGTGCAGTCACCAGTGTTTCCTCCTGCCCAGAAGTAAGAATCCTTTCCTTTAAAGACCAGTTTCCTCTTGTTGCTGCAGGAATTAACATGTGCATTGTTTCACTGCACAGTGACACTGATTTGTAGCGCTAGGTAAAGATTTAACATTTCATTGTTTTGCCATTGCATGTTAAAAGGTGTTAAGCAACTCTAAAATAACTGTGTAGAGTTGCAGAGACCTACTAATTGGGTTAATTATTGAACCTGACGAAAATACTTTAGTCAAGATTTCCTCCTTTTTCAAAACTAAAAGGAAGAGTCTTATCTATCTTTTTTTTCTGAGACAAAGTCTCACTGTCACGCAGGCTGGAGTGCAGTGGCAAGATCTTGGCTCACTGCAACCTCTGCCTCTCGGGTTCAAGCAATACTACTGCCTCAGTCTCCCAAGCTCTAAAACTACAGGCGCACACCACCACACGGGGCTAAGTTTTTGTACTTTTAGTAGAGACAGGGTTTCGCCATGTTAGCCAGGATGGTCTCAATCTCCTGAATTCATGATGTGCCTGTCTCAGCCTCCCAAAGTGTGGGGACCACAGGCGTGAGCCACTGCACCCGACCGAGTCTTATTTATCTTTAAGGTTCTGATGCCTCTCATATCTCTAGATATATTTTATTGGCCATTTGTACTGATTTCTTTGTGATCTGCCCATTCATGGCATCACCAGTGTAAACAAAAAGTCAAACTTATTTATATTGTGCTTTGTCCTTTAATTATCTGAAATTCTTCCTTGCAGACAAATCCATCAAAAACCCATACCTCTGCCAAGTAAGTACAACGAAGTCACGTAGTGTATCAGGGAGTGGTCGAGGTGGAGCATAGAGTCTGACAGGCCTACGTGTAACAGCGCTGTCGCTTCCAGCTGCGTTATCCTGGCATCTTCTCCCGCTTGCTTCCTTATCTGTAAAATGGGGCCAAGAATGTTTATTTCACAGAGTTGCTTTGAAAAGTAAATATATTTGAGGCAATTTTTACTTTTTTTAGTAGCGATTTAATATTTTACTGGTCATGCATCCTTTATTAACTTTTTTTTTCCCAAAACAATACAGCTGTTTTCAAAATAATAAGATTAAGTAAAACAACATTTGGGGAGCACTAGGTACAGTGTTTGGCTCTAAACAAATAATACCCATTTAACCTAAGTCTAAAATACATTGTAAAGGTCACAAAATATTTCTACAAAAGGTACCCTAAAAAGAGGATGTGGCAAATACCTGAATAATTTTCCCAAGGCAAACATCACCCTAAAAATGTAGGAATTGGATAAGTCAGGCTCACAGAAAGTAACTGCCCAAACTTTAATTTGCCTTCAACTCAATGTGGGAAAGAGAGAAGAAAAATCTCTGCCTTACGTGGGTAATTTGGGATATATTCCAACATAATCAAGCTTAAATCCATTTAAATAAACAGTAATTGTCCATATGCAAAACATTTATATGCATTTTTTTACTAAATATAAATTGGCTTTTTAGATTTTAATAATATTCATCTTAAATAAATGAAACCTTCACTAGTTTTTTTTTTTTAATTCTGACAACACAAAGTGAAAATGATTTGGATACAGAAATTTATTTTTCTTTATTTAAAAAGTTTTATTATACCTTTTATGGTTTTTCAACCCAAGTTATTCATTCAGTTGTTAGTGACCATATGCTGTGTGCCAAGCACTGTTCTAGGCACAGGAGATAAAGGATGGATGAAACAAAGACCCTGTCTTCATGAAGTTTGTGTTCCACTGAAGGAGACAGTAAAAATGAACACACAAATAATATCATATCAGGTAAATACTAAATTGCTATAAAGAAAAACACAGCACAGCAGCACAGTGCTATAAAGAAAAATACATACACAGAACGGAGGAAGGGAGGGCTGCTGCTGTAGACAGGGTGGGCTGAGAAGGCCTCTTCCATAAAATGGGCATAATAGCTCACCACAAAGAGCTGGTGAAAGGACAAGATGCGCACATGTTGAAAACAGAACAGGCCTGGCACATTGAGTTGTCAGAAAATATTAGCCATGGGTACTCTTCCAACTGCCAGAACTGCAGAAACCACCAACTGCACTGCACTGTGCCTCTTGGGAAAGTCTATTCGCTCACTCACCTTTACTGCTCATACCTGGGAGTACCATTCCCCTCCTATCAGAATACAATTTTCCTTTTGGCCCATCTTTGTTGGACCTGCCAAGCCCTCACTGCCTCCTCCTCTTAACAATGGTGGCTGCCTTCTCTGAACACCCAAGGCACTATTATCTGAAGCACTTAGTTCTTCAAGAACTCTTTGTCCTGCAGACCTCCCCATCTTAATAAGGGATAACTGGTTGTTCTTGTCAGAAACCTTAGAGTCACCCTTGACTTCTCACTTGCTTTCTTCACTCACCTTCCAGCTAGTCCTTCATAATAGATCCAGAATCCAACCACTCTCACTACTTCCACTGCTGTGATCTGTCCAAGTCACTGTCATCTCCTGCAAAAAGACCCAACTGGCCTCCCTGACTCTGCTCTTGCCACCCTCTGTTTCCAGCCCAGCAACCAGAATGACCCTGTTAAAAGACAGGCCGATCATGTTACTCCCTGTTCAAAAACCTCCAAAAGCTTCCCTTACCATGTTCATTACAGCTCTTGAGTCATGTTAAGGGTCCACCAGTTCCTATAAATCTGGTCCCTTCATTGCCTTCTATCTGACTGCATTTCCTATTCTTCTCCCCTTTTCTCACTGTACTGTAGGCACAGTGGCGTCCTTGCTATTCCTCAGGGCTTTGTGTTCATGGCTCCCTCTACCGTTCATGCCAGGTTTTGCGTTCATGGCTCCCTCTCCCCGGGACATTCTCTCCTGGGATGTCCGCTGCATCCTCCCTCTCCACCTGCAGGTCTTACCCAAGTGTTCCCTCAGTGGGGTCTTCCTTTCCTGATTTATTTTTCTCCATGGCATTTATGACCCTCTAATATTTTATGTATATTTTTATTTATGTCTTTATTGCCCATCTCAATCCATTAAAACTTAAGTTCCAGGAGAGCGGGACATTTTGCTGTTTTATTAACTGCTATATATCCCCAATGCCATTAAGCCATGGCAGAGAAACTGAATGAATGAAGATACGTATCTTCTGTATTTCACATGCTTCCACATTTAGACTTTAAACTCTTTGAGGGAGTTGATGCTTGAAGACAGCAATTCTCAGACATTTTGGTCTCGGAATCACTTTAACCCTCTTAAAATCATTGTAGACCTGAAGAGCTTTGGTTTACATGTTTTTATTGGCACCTAGTATTTTAAGAATTAAAACTGAGTCATTTAAAATATGTATTAATCCATTTAAAAATAATATTAAACTCATTACATGTTAACATAAATAACATGGTTTTATGAAAAATAACTATATTTTCCAAACAAAAACAATTTAGAGGAAAGAGTGCATTAGTTTACATTTTGTAAATCTCCTTAATGTGTGTTATTGCAATGTAACAGAGACTGCTGCTTTCTTATCTCTGTATCTACATTCAATCTGTTGCGAAGCTTTTCTGCTGGAACTACATGAAGAAAATCAGGTTTCATAGTGATAGGTAATTGAAAAAGAAAAGACCTCTTGAAGCCCCTGAAAGGATTGTCAGGATTTCCAGGGGTCCCTGGACCATACTTTTAGAACCATTGCCTTAAGGATCTTTTGGGAGGCATGTGTCCCCCACAGCACCTAGCACAGTGTTAGGGTGTAGGCATAGAAAGAGTTCAAGAAACGTGAAGATTAATTGAAGGACTTTTCTGATCCCTTTCAGGATTTACAGAAGGGGGAAGCCCAACTGTGGATGGGCCCCTACCCAGCTTTTCATCCAAGTCCACTATTTCAGAACAGGTATGAAATGAACTCTTGATGTCACTAAATTGTTACCAGGAAACTGCAGGAAAAAGCATGTCTTCTAAGAAGAGGGCATTTGGAGTGAACCTTGAGAACAGAAACTCTATGTTACATCACTATGTGAACTGTCATTTGATAATAGGGACAGAATACCCAGTTGTTGTTGCTGTTTTCAATGATTAAGATATTACTCCAGTTAATGTTTCCTCAAAACTAGCAAGGAAATGTGTTTTCGTTGTTCTTCCTCTCACACAGATTTTATTAAACTTTGTAACTTCCTCCAAATAGATCTGTGGAGGCTTATGATATTAAATCATATATAAAACAGCACAGTTTAAAAAGAGACAGAGAAAGGACTCTGTGTGCCCTTGGGCAAGTCTTTCTAAGTTTCCATAAAAATACATGTAAAAATGTAAAATATGGATAATAGCATGTGTCCTTCTTGCTTTCAAAAAAGGCATATGTCCTTTCTTGCAAGAATCAAATAATATTTGTAAAAATGCTTTGGAAATTATAAAGCACCCCACAAAGTAAGAGCTGTCAGAGCAATAAGAGCACAATGGAAAGGGAGATTATTACTTATTTAGGAGAAAGAAAGAAATAGTTCAGGGACCTAGCTAAATTCAAATGAAAAAACATACAAAAAAACAAGTTGATAGTATAATCCTTGTGTTTGATCAAAGGAAAAGTAAAACTCATCCTAAAATTATTGGTCCAAATGTAGAGGCCTGTCTTGATAATGCAAATGAGTCTTGGTTTCTAGTACACAGAAATTAGAGGTGAGTAGGGACCACATCATGCTGACCAGTGCCCTCCATTTCACAGGAAGCTGACGTTCTCTGCAAGCCATGGTATGCTGGTGCCTGTGATCGAAAGTCTGCTGAAGAGGCATTGCACAGATCAAATAAGGTCTGATCATTTTTATTATTTATTATTTTTATTTATTTTTTATCTTGAGACACGGTTTCACTGGAGTGCAGTGGCTCAATCTCGGCTCACTGCAACCTCTGCTCCTGGGTTCAAGTGATTCTTATGCCTCGGTCTCCCAGGTAGGTGGGATTACAGGTGTGTGCCACCACATCAGGCTAAGTTTTGTATTTTCAGTAGAGATGAGGTGTCACCATGTTGACCAGGCTGTTCTCAAACTCCTGACCTCAGGTGATCCAGCCACCTCGGTCTCCCAAAGTGCTGGGATGACAGGCATGAGCCAACCCACCCAGCCAAGATTTGATAATTTTTAAATCCCACGTTTTGCCCTTAGCCTATAATAGACACAGCTGTCATCCTTATGATATGCTAATTAAATAATTCCAACAAGTATAGATACAAGGATCTTTTTCCTTTACTTACTCAAGAGAAAATGCTATCCCCTCCTCTCTTTCAAGTTCCTCCATCTTATTTCTACTTTCCCTTTCATCTCTGCAAGGACCCACAGGCTCCACTGCCCTCTGAACAGTGTGGGAGGGAAGAAAGCTCTGGGGGAGATCTATGGAAGGCTTGTGCTCCATAAGCTCCACTGAGGAGTGAACAGTGACAGGCTATTTTGCATCAATGCACAGGATTAAAAATTTGAGTCAAGAGGGCAAGCAAACAAACAAAAAACACCTGGAAGTAAATGTTTGGAGAGCCCAACTTCAATCATGTTGGAACACCAGGGACAGTCTGGACAACTCAAGATTAAAGTGCCACTTTTTCTTTCTCTCCTTTCCTCCCATTTGTTGTTGTTGTTGTTGTTGTTTACTTGCACCCCTCTTTGTCAGACTATGTGGCATTTGCATACTGTTCTTCCTCACCCTTGTTTTAGTCTTGGCTCTACAAGTAAATATATTGCGTGTTCCATCAGTCCTTTGGTTGGCTTCCACCATTGTCATTTTCATTTGATAAAGTGTACCTGTAGCAGATTCTGAGGAAAAACCGTGTTTACATTATTCCCTGAGTTCTTGTGCATTCCAAACTCTTTTCTCAGCCAGGCACGGTGGCTCATGCCTGTAATCCTAGCACTTTGGGAGGCCAAGGCGGGTGGATTACTTGAGGTCAGGGGTTTGAGACCAGCCTGGCCAAGATGGCAAAACTTCATCTCTACCAAAAATACAGAAATTAGCCAGGCATGATGGCAGGCACCTGTAATCCAAGGTCCTCAGGAGGTTGAAGCAGGACAATCGCTTGAGCCTACCCAGGAGGCAGAGGTTGCAGTGAGCCGAGATTGTGGCACTGCTTTCCAGCCTGGGCAATGGAGTGAGACTGCTATTCGGGAGGAAAAAGAGAAAGAGTTAAAAAACTGTTTTCTCCTATCCTAGTAGTTGGAAGCCATCTTGGCTGGATATAAAATCCTTAATTTGAGTTTTAAAAGTGTTGCTCCACTAGATTTTGTTGTTCCATATGATGCTCTTGAGAAGTCTGATGCCAATGTGACTTTTTTGCCCTTCTATATAATTTGATACTTTAGTCTGGTGGCTCTGTAGACTCTTTGTTTTTAAAGTCTAATTGTTTTACCAGAGTATGTCTCTGAGCTGATTATTCCAAGTCAATTTTCTCAAGTAGACAGAAGCCCTTTCAATGTGTAGATTTAAGTTTTCTCTTACAGCCAGTAAGTTTTCTTAGATTGTAGTCTTAACGGGTAGTCTGTTCCATTGTTTGGTTTTTCTTCTGCACAAACTCAATTTATGTGCCTTTTGGATCTTTTTTGTCATTCTTTCATTCCAATCACTGTCTCTGATTCTATGGTACTTATTTTAGTAAATCACTTTTCCTCTCCTGGTTGTTTCCACACCTTCCTTCAAGTGTCATTTCTTAAATCTTCATTCGAGGCTCTTGGACATCTTAAATTTTTTTCTTTGTTTCTGAGACAGGTTTGTCTTTTTCTTCAATTTTTTTCCTGAGTTTGATCAACTCTTGTTGCATTTCATTCTGTTTTTTGTCCATCTTTTGCTTGTAAGTTTTTATTTTATGATTCTAAATATTTTAATAAAATATTTAACAAAATTTGAATTATTGTATTACAGTTTTGGGATTTTTTTTAATATAAGTTCTTTGGGGAGAGAATTTTCATCTCTGTTTTCTTCTTACAGTGCTTATGAATGGAATTTGCTTGATGCTTTTTTTTTTGTAGACAACTGGTGACTATGGTTCCCAGTTCAAGAGAGTCCTCTAGGTTTGATCTTAATGGATCTCTTCAAATTTTTCTAAATTTTATAAACATAAAACTTTATTTAGCACATTAAAAAGCTAGCATTTGGCTGGGCATGGTGGTACATGCCAGTAGTTCCAGCTACTCAGGAGGCTGAGGGGTGAGGATCACTTAACTCAGGAGTTCCAGACTACAGTGAGCTATGATTGCACCACTGCACACCAGCGTGAGCAACAAAGTGAGACTGTCTCTAAAAATAATTAATTAGTTATTAAAGGCAAGCATTCTTACCTTACTCAGAATTCTTACTCAGAATTTTCTATGAGTGTATATTTTCCTGGACTATTTTCTTAGAAAATAAGAAGACAAGTGCTAATCAATAATAAAAATGATGTAGCTAAATAATTTACCTTTGGAATGTAATATAGATGTTCTTTATAAAATGATTTTTGAATCTGTAGAAACATAAGTAATACTAACCATAATTATGCGTTTTTAAAAAAATTTAAACAGGATGGATCATTTCTCATTCGGAAAAGCTCTGGCCATGATTCCAAACAACCATATACCCTAGTTGTATTCTTTAATAAGCGAGTATATAATATTCCTGTGCGATTTATTGAAGCAACGAAACAATATGCCTTGGGCAGAAAGAAGAATGGTGAAGAGGTAAGTGATTTCTTTTTAAATTCAATTTTATAACTATATATTGAGTATAATTACATCATGTACTATATTAGATGCTAGAGATGAGAAGAAGGGATACAAAAGTATTTGTTCTTATGCTTGCATTGGGCAATATATCCTATAAGAATGCAGAAAAGGAAAAAACGGTGTGATGTACATCCCAGTCCTTTCATTCAGTTATTTAGTGATGTCAGTCTGACACAAGATTTAGTCCATGGGCAAATACAAATCAAGATTGAGATGTCAAGTTGAATCAAGGTTGTAAGAATTAAGGTCAAGGTCCAGACCTCCAAAGGAAATACCTAAAAATCTCAACTCAAGTACCAAGGTAGGTTACGAGGAAGGATCCAGAAGAGATACAGAAACTTGAGTTAGGATATTAGACTATAGCCCTTGTACCAGAATAAACTTATGGGCCTGCAGCAAGAAAAAAAAATCACATGGGTATTAAATATTAGCCAAACATTAACTTTAGTACCTCTTTAATCTGGACCAAACTCAATGCTTACCATAGCTCAGTTCAGCCAGCCTGCTCCTATAAATGAACCCTGAAATATGAGCTGGAGTAACCCATGAATGGTCTAGAAATGGAGTGATACTTGTTCTGGTTTTGAATTATGGGTTGAATTCCAATAGGTAGAATGTAAGTTAGAAGGAATTAGAAAGAGAAAAATGGGAAGAACAATCTATGTAGAGAAAATAGCATAAACAAAATTCAATTTAAGCAATATTTACTTTCAAGATTCCTTCAGAAAAAGCTACACCATTCCAAACCCAGCACCTGTTAGAGTGTATTTAAATTGTTGGAAAGTGTCATGATTGCTGAAGTGTCTGTCTTCTCCACTACGTGAGGCCAAGGGTGATGTCTTTTCATTTCTGTATTTCCAGAATCAGACCACAATATTTGGCTTCAGTGTACACTTAATAAATAATTATTAAGTGACTGAATTGATTTGATTGAGTGATTGCAGGCAGGAGAATAGCATTTTTGAAACAAACTGAAAAAGTCATGGGTATTCTTTATTTTGCTTTTTAGACAATTATGGTTAAAAAAACACATAAAATATTTACCATCTTAATCATTTTTAAGTGTACACCTCAGTAGTGTTAAGTATATTTACATTGTTGTGAAACAGATCTTCAGAACTTGTTCATCTTACAGAACTAAAACCCTATACCCACTAAACAACTTCCTTTTTCCCCCTTCCTGTAGCCCCTAGCAACCATGTTCTATTTTTATGAATTTGACTACTTTAGATACCTCATACAAGAGGAATCACACAATATTTGTCCTTTATGACTGGCTTATTTCACTTCGCATGATGTCCTCGAGACTCATCCATGTTGTGGCATGTGTCAGAATTTCCTTCCTTTTTAAGGCTGCATAGCATTTCATTGAATCTATATACCACATTTTGTGTGTCTAACATCCATCAGTGGACATCTGTGTTGCTTCTACCTCTTGGCTGTTGTGAACAGTGCTGCTATAAACATGGGTGTGCAAATCTCTCCAAGACTTGGCTTTCAATTATTTGGGGTATATACCCGGAAGTGGGATTGCTGGATGATATGGGTATTTTGTTTTTAATTTTTTGTGGACCTCCCAAACTTTTTTCCACAGCAGTTGAACTATTTTACAATTCCACCAACAGCACACAAGGGTTTGCCTTCTTCACATCCCCACCAGTCTTGTTATATTCTGAATTTTGTTGTTGTTGTTTTACAATAGTCTTCCAAATGGGTGTGAGGTGATATAGCTTATTGTGGTTTTGATTTGCATTTCTCTGAGGATTAGTGATACTGAACATTTTTCATATGCCTTTTGGCCACTTGGCCATCTTCTGAGAAATGCCTATTCTATTTTATAATCAGGTTATTTGATTTTTTTCTGTTGCTGAGTTTTAGGAGTTCTTTATATATTCTGGATATTAACCCCTTATTAGATAAATGATTTGCAAATTTTTTTTCCCATTCCATAGGTTACCTTTTCACTCTGTTGACTGTGTTATTTGCTGAGCAAAAGCTTTTAAATTTAATATTGTCTTGCCTATTTTTGCTTTTGTTCCCTATGCTTTTAGTGTCATATCAAAAAAATCATTGCCAAATCCAGTGTCATGATGTTTCCCTCTACGTTTTCTTCTAGGATTTTTATATTGGGAATTTTATTTGCTTTTAACAAAGTCTCAGATAATTTTAAAATGCAAAACTCTTGAATCTGAGAGCATTAATCAAAACCTATCTTGGGTTTTAAAATGTAGATTGCATTATCATTTCACATCCTAAAGCTTCCCCAGCAGTCTAGCTCATCTATAAGAGGCTTTAAGGGCCTCATTGTTGGTGGGAGTGTAAATTAGTTCAACCATTGTGGAAGACAGTGTGGCGATTCCTCAAAGACCTAGAAATAGGAATTCCATTTGACCCAGCAACCCCATTACTGGGTATATATCCAAAGGATTATAAATCATTCTACTGTAAGGACACATGCACATGAATATTCATTCGTGTTTACAGTTTACAATAGCAAAGACCTGGAACCAACCCAAATGCCCATTGATGACAGACTGGACAGAGAAAATGTGGCACATATACACCATGGAATATTATGCAGCCATCAAAAACGATGAGTTCGTCGTGTCCTTTGTAGGGACATGAATGAACCTGGAGACCATCATTCTCAGCAAACTGACACAAGAACAGAAAATCAAACACCGCATGTTCTCACTCATAGGCGGGTGTTGAACAATGAGAACATATGGACACAGGAAGGGGAGCACCACACACTGGGGTCTGTTGGGGGGAAATAGGGGAGGGACAGTCGGGGGTGGGGAGTTGGGGAGAGATAGCATGGGGAGAAATGCCAGATATAGGTGAAGGGGAGGAAGGCAGCAAATCACACTGCCACGTGTGTACCTATGCAACAATCTTGCATGTCCTTCACATGTACCCCAAAACCTGAAATGGAATAAAAAAAAAAGAGAGGCTTAAGGGTGGGTGAAGAAGCTGTCCTATTTCCAGGCCCTGAAATTCTCTCACAGATTTTGAGCTCTGCGAGGGGTTCTGAATTTCCTTGTCTAGGAAATTCTGGTACACAGGAATTTGTTTTGGCCTAAAGAAACTTCATCTCTACTTTAGAATGAATAGACCAGAGCTTCACCTCACTTCCAACGTATTCAGCGTACGGATTCCAAAATAAGTAGTTTATTACTACAGTAGTATCTGGAGATACTGACAGTCAATTAAAACTCTTACTTAAATTATCTATAATAAAAAGTTTATGTCCCCTATACACTGAACATCTGGATGGAAAATTATAGTGTCAGTTACATGATGTCAATCATGTGGATTTTTTTTTAAAGTCTGTATTTTTGTGTATGTGGCTAGAAAACGTAACCAATTCATTAACTGTTTAACTTTCTATGTAGTTATTTTGGTATTAAGTGATGTAGCATTGAGTAATTTTACAGTTTTGAAAACTGTCTGCTTTGTCTTATTGGCCATGAGATTTTGAGTTATTAAACAAGTTGTTTTTCTGTCCACATATGAATATCTCAAATACACTGAATTAATGAAAACAAAAAAAGAAAGGAGAGCTGAGGGGAAGTTGTAACTATGTTATGCCCAACTCTTTTTAATTAAATCACAAATATTCTTCAACTCCATTCGCTACTTCAAATGTTTCAACTCAGCTCAGCTCCCTACTGCAAACATTGAATCCCCAAATACCACAACAAGGCAATACTCACAAATATTCAGGGAGTAGAGGGACAGAATGAGATATTTGTTTGTGTTAAGTGTAGCAGTCCTCTCCTATGCTCCCTAGGTTCAGAACACACTTTACCCCCTGTAATCCATTTCAAAGAGTTGTGCTATTTCTTTTTCTGGCCCTTTAATCCATAAATTTAACTTTCAGCTGCATTTGGTTTAGCAACATCTTATGCCAAACAAGCAGAATGAATGTTTTATGGGATTCATAATGAAAGAATTTCATTGGCAATTGCAAGAGGGCTGAATGATTGAACAGGAAGTAAAGAATAAAGACTAAAGGTTTGGCCAGGTGCAATAACTCATGCCTGTAATCCCAGCACTTTGGGAGGCTGAAGCAGGTGGATCGCCTGAGGTCAGGAGTTCAAGACCAGCCTGGCCAACATGGTGAAACCCCCATCTCTACTAAAAATACAAAAATTAGCCAGGCATGGTGACACATCCCTGTAGTCCCAGCTACTTGGGAGGCTGAAGCAGGAGAATCGTTTTATCCAGGAGGCGGAGGTTGCAGTCAGCTGAGATCACGCCATTACACTCCAGCCTGGGTGACAGAATGAGACTCTGTCTCAAAAAAAAAAAAAAAAAAGAAGAAGAAGACTAAAGGTATTTGAAAGTCCCTGTCTCTTATCTCCCTCCCTGAATGAATATTCAGATAGCCAATATCTAAAAGACAACCGGCATTTCATTTGAAAATGTTGGCCAATATTCTAAATATTTTACAATTTATTCAACATGTAGATACTTGGAAGTCATCCAAAAAATTTTAAAAAGCTTAAAATTTTTACTCTAGATGTTTGTCTTTATCTAAATAATGCAGAAAATAAAATCAATTGATAGTAACTGCTAAACTTATGGCACTGTTGTAAATCAACTACCACATTTTAAAAATGATTCTAAATACATGTATTTAATGAGTGTGAACTTGTAGCACTTTTGTATACTCAATGCATTTCATTTCATGGTCTGTGTTACATTTATTTTATCCTTTAAAACTTTATTTTTCAAAACAAAATTTGCGATAATTTTAAAGCAAAACCCATAGGCAACAAGGATCAAAATTTAGACAAATAAGTATGTATGGAGAGAGCCTCACATGAAATTTCATTATTAATTAGGAACTAAGTTAAAACTCTAAGTTTACCAGGAGCCAAGTAAAAATGGAAATATGAAGGTGTATAAAGCTTTTTTTGTTTAAAAAAGAAAACAAAACGTAAATTTGTTTAGGAAATGACTGTTTCCTTCTACTAAATTCTAAGGTTATTACATAACCTTAGATACAGAAGTTGTATCTAAGTTGTATCTACATAACCTTAGATACAGAAGTTCTTGTATCTGAGACTTGTGCAAAGTAACAGATGATCTATGTTTTGTAAAGAATGTAGAAAAATGCATTGTATGACTGTTTTACATTTAATAGTAAATAAAAAGCAATATACTATAATATTTCATCATAACTTAGTGAAGTAATCTCTCTAAGTAGCTAGGCTAATTGCAGCTGTTAGTGTGTTTTTCATCGTACTTAATACAGCTAAGTCCAAATTCTGTCATCTTGAAGGTTATAGCCTTTGTTAAACTAGATTTTTTTGGGCAGAATGTCAGCTGGGATGTAATAACTTTTACTAACGTGAGAATGAAAGAAGATGGGAGGAGTGGAGCTCAAAGTTAACACAAATGCCAATGTGTAATTCACCTATGTTTTCTTCCTCTAGTACTTTGGAAGTGTTGCTGAAATCATCAAGAATCATCAACATAGTCCTCTGGTTCTTATTGATAGTCAGAATAACACAAAAGATTCCACCAGACTGAAGTATGCAGTTAAAGTTTCATAAAGAAGAAAAAAAGGTCAATATCATTGCTTCAGACATTTTCCCCAAGCTTCTCCTTTTGAGAAAAAGTCCTAAAACTTCATATTTTGGATTATGAATCAGCCAGTAATAAAATAGAAGATGGAGTCAGCTATTGAGGTGGTCATCCATTTCTTTTTAAGAAGGTCACATGGACTTTTTCTACCTATTGTCTGACCTGTGAACTGTTCATATCTGGTGAGGTTGACTTATCATGCTACTAATATTTTCCAAATAAATATCTTCATTTTTGAAAAGAAGTGTAAAGTACATTCTCAAAATAAGAAAATAATACTCTTGCATAAAACGAAGTGGCTGGAAATGTAAACCTCCACAGCGATCATTTGTACACTAATATAGCTGGGCTTTCTATTGCCAATGCTTGACAATTAAGTTTTGGTTAAAATTTTAATTTGTAGAAAATAAAGTATTATGGGTAATGTATGATATCTGTAAATATAGACAAGAAGGATGTAATGGTGAGCACTCCCAACCACTGGAGATGTATATGGATATGAACTTTCTGTAAGTTCTTGTCTAGGATTATGCTGTTAGTTTTGCTTACTAAAGATAATTATACCCTCTTTGATCTGCATGTCTATCAAACAGAAACTAATGTTGATATGAGGTTTATATTAGTCTGTTCTCACACTGCAAATAAAGACATACCCGAGACTGGGAAAAAGGAAGGAAGGAAGGAAGGAAGGAAGGAAGGAAGGGAGGGAGGGAGGGAGGGAAGGAGGGAGGGAGGGAGGGAGGGAGGGAGGGAGGGAAGGAAAGAGGGAAGGAAGGAAGGAAGGCAGGAGGAAAAAAAAGAGGTTTAATGGACTCACAGTTCCATATGGCTGGGGAGGCCTCACAATCATGTTGGAAGGTGAAGAAGGAGCAAAGGCATATTTTACATGGTGGCAGGTGAGAGCGCACGTGCAGGGGTACTGCCCTTTATAAAACCATCAGATATCATGAGACTTATTCACTATCACGAGAACAGCATGGGAAAACTTGCCCCCATGATTCAGTTACCTCCCACCAGGTCCCTCCCATGTGCCATGGGAATTATGGGAGCTACAATTCAAGATGAGATTTGAGTGAGGACACAGCCAAACCATATCAAGTTTCAAAGTGGAATGACAGCAAAACTAGACCAAAAACCAGTTCTAGAAAAATATCCTACAAAACAAGGGCAGAAAAGCACACATTGGTGAACACCAAGGAATAAAAGAGGTCTCATCATGGAGAATCATGTCTGAGGTTTTAGTTCATCCCATAAATGTATCATACTTTGTCATATACAAGGCTTTTTTCTACAAATGGGGAACACACCTGACCACTGCATAAGATAGCAAATCTATGAAAGTATTTTGAAAGGCTAGAAAGTAATGATTTCAGAGTAATTCATGACTCACTTGTACAGATAATTGTATTTTTGGCCAGGTGCAGTGGCTCACGCCTGTAATCCCAGCACTTTGGGAGGCTGAGATGGGTGGATCATTAGGTCAGGAGTTTGAGATAAGCCTGGCTAACATAGTGAAACCCCATCTCTACTAAAAACACAAAAATTAACAGGGTGTGGTGGCATGCACCTGTAATCCCAGCTACTCAGGAGACTGAGGCAGGAGAATTGCTTGAACCTGGGAGGTGGAGGTTGTGGTGAGCCAAGATTACCCCATTGCACTCCAGCCTGGGTGACTGAGTGAGGCTCCATCTCAAAAAAAAGATACTTTTTAAATGTCATATACTTTCATAATTACCACCTATGCTATGGATTGCACTGTGGTCCCCCCTTAAAACATATGTTGAAGTCTTCATCCATAAGGCCACATATCCCAGAATGTGACCTTATTTGGGAACGGGGTCTTTACAGATGTAGTCAAGTTAAGATGAAGTCAATAGGGTGGGCCTTAATAATGGCTTGTGTCCTTATGAAGATAGGAAATTTGGATACAAACACAGACAGGCACAGAAAGAAGACTATATGAAGAGACACACAGGAAGACTACTATGTGAAGTCCTGGTGTGATTCCATCCTGCAAGGCTGTTCTCTTGAGCAATGGTTGTGCTTATCTCCATCTGCCTTCTCTCCCACCTAAGTATGTGCCACCATCCAATGGAAGATTCGATGGACATGAGCCCCCTGAGGCACCAGAACTATCTTTTCAGTTATGAACTATGGCCAACAAAGATTATCACTTTAAGGTGGATAATGATAAAAATGAGCACCAGTTATCTTTAAGTATGGTCAGTTTCCGGGCTGGTGCAAAGAATGAATTGCACATTGTTGAAGCGAAGGCAATGAATTACAAAGGCAGTCCAATTAAAGTAACACTGGCAACTTTGAAAATGTACAGCCAACGGTTTCCCTTGGGGTCCTATGGTTGAAGTGTGGTTCAGATCCAGTGAATATTAGTGGACAGCACTTAGTAGCTGCAGCTGCGGAGGAAGATGCAGTCAGAAGAGGAAGAGGAGGAGGATGTGAAACTCTTAAATATATCTGGAAAGTGGTCTGCCCCTGGCGGTGGTAGCAAGGTTCCACAGAAAAAAAGTAAAAATCCTGCTGATGAAGATGATGATGATGATGCAGGTGATGATGTTGATTTTGATGATGAGGAAACTGAAAAAAAAGCACCAGTGAAGAAATCTATATGAGATACTCTAGCTAAAAATGCGCAAAAGTCAAATCAGAATGGGAAAGACTCAAAACCATCATCAACACCAAGATCAAAAGGACAAGAATCCTTCAAAAAAACAGGAAAAGACACCCAAAACACCAAAAGGACCTAGTTCTGTAGAAGACATTAAAGCAAAAATGCAAGCAAGTATAGAAAAAGGTGAAAGCCTAGTTCATCAATTATGTGGAGAATTGCTTCCGGATGACTGACCAGAAGGCTATTCAAGATCTCTGGCAGTGGAGGAAGTCTCTTTAAGAAAACAGTTTAAACAATTTGTTAAAAATTTTTCATCTTATTTCATTTCTGTAACAGATGATATCTTGCTGTTCTTTTTATAATGGAGAGTGAGAACTTTCCCTACTATGATTGATAAACATTGTCCAGGTTCCGTTTTGCCAAGAGTGTGTTGTCCAAAATGCCTGTTTAGTTTTTAAAGATGGAACTCCACCCTTTGCTTGGTTTTAAGTATGTGTGGAATGTTATGATAGGACATAGTAGTAGCATTGGTCAGACATGGAAGTGGTTGCGAGACAAAAATATACATGTGAAATAAAACTCAGTATTTCAATAAATATCATGGTTTCTATTGTTTTTAAAAAAGAATACTACATGAAGATGAGGGACTACAGTGATGCATCTGTAGGCCTGGGAGCACCAAAGATTTCCTGCAAACCATCAGAAGCTAGGAAGAGGCACAAACAGACTTCCCTCCAGGTTTTAGAGGGAGCATGGCCCTGATGACACCTTCATTTTGGACTTCAAGTGTTCAGTACTTGAAGACAACACATTTCTGGCTTTTTAAGCCATTCAGCTTATTATGGTGGCCATAGAATCTAATAAAATCTATATGCAGTTTTTACATTCAGGGATATAGGGGTTTGAGAAATTTTGTATGAAAACTTTTTTTCTCTTTTTAGGAAAACCATTGAATCATTTAGAAAGTACTAGAAAAGCACCAGACATGGTGGCTCATGCCTGTAATCCCAGCACTTTGGGAGACTAAGGTGAGTGGATCACTGGAGGTCAGGAGTTTGAGACCAACCTGGCCAACATGGCAAGATCCCATCTTTACTAAAAATACAAAAATTAGCCTGGCATGGTGGCTCATGCCTCTAATCCCAGCTACTCGGGAGGCTGAAGCATGAGAATTGCTTTAACCTGGAAGGCAGAGGCTACGGTGAGCCAAGATGGTGCCACTGCACTCCAGCCTAGGCAACAGAGTAAGACTCCATTTCAAAAAAAAAAAAAAAAAAGAATGTACTAGAAAGGATGACTTATAATTTAAACTGGGAAACTGGGTTACTTTTTTTGTAAAGCAAAGCATCTGTTTGTAGTATGAAGTATCAGCTCTCTAGTTTCAATTTGCCTCAGTGTTACAAGGAATTATTTTCTATTTAAGTAAATACTCATTAATTCCTGCTGCTACCACAGCAACCTTGGCTCCATAACAACCTCTTCTGCCTCAGTCCTCCTCTCCTCCTCCAAGTCTCCTACTCCAGCTTGTGATCAGCATAGCTGTTAAGATTATACTAATCCTCAGTTTGTTGGTATTCAGCACTGTGTGGTGAATTTCTCAGAGAAGAGGCGGGGAGAACATCTGAGAAGTAGAGGCCATTCTCTGCTAAAGGCTCTACTCCTCCCCAAAGCTGGGAGAAATACCCAATCCAGCATGCTGGTCTTTCTCCTCATCTTGCAGAAGAGTCCACTGAGGGTGACCCTACCTGCTTCTCTAAAGCCCACCTCTGCAGGTGGTATTCTTGATGAAATTAGAAAAGTCTTTAAGAGTCTGGGCATGGTGGCTCACACCTATAATCCCAGCAGTTTTGCAGGCTGAAGCAGGAGGATCTCTTGAGGCCAGGAGTGAGACCAGCCTGGTCAACACAGTGAACCCCCATCTCTACTAAAACTAGAACAAATTAATTGGGCATGGTGGCACTTGCCTGTACTGTACTTCCAGCTACTACTCAGGAGGCTGAGGCATGAGAATCACTTGAGCCTGGGAGGCAGAGATTGCAGTGAGCTGATATCATGCCACTGCACTCTGGCCTGGGCCACAGAATGAAACTCTGTCTCAAAATAAATAAATAAATATGAAATCTCAAAACACCTGTCTGTGATCTCAGTGTCTCAATGGCTGACAAACAAATGGTTTTGCAAAAAGAAATTTTCAGGCAAGCTAGGTGGTGGAATAGGAGACATTAGTCAAGAAGTACATTGTGTAGCACCTGAAGAAGGAAAAAACAAAAATGACCCAGTTCTTCTTTTCTGTTGCAAACTAGATTTCAGCTATAGTAGTAGAAAGGCTGTTCAAGTTTGTTCAAAAGGACACTAGATATGAAAAAGCTAGCCTGTGACCATCACAAGCCTACATTGTGTTATCATGAGTGCACTCTGGGAGCTAAACTAATGTTACTGTAGTTGCTGGGACAATTTTGCCTAAAAGGAAGTCCCAGAGAACAGAATTCAGTGATGTGAGGCAAAACCAGCACCATGTGAGACATGTTCTTAAAACAGGACTGAATTCTCCTTCAAAATGTTCTTAAGATGCCTTATAACTCAGCCTCTATTTCTAGATAAGGGTATATGGAAACTGCTTAAAGATCCCAACAAAGTTAGTTGCACTGAATGCTCTGCGCCTGTATCTAACCACAAGGTGAGGCAGTACTTGCTTTATAGTTTGACAGGTCTGGGTATCCTAGATCTAGCATTTATCAGCATGTTATTGGGCAAGTTTCTTACCACTGTAAACCTCAATTTCTACATTTGTGAAACAGTATGTTTCCAGTAATGATTTAAGAGCTAAAATAAGCTAGTTGTGCCTAATAAATATTACCTCCTAGTCCCCTAACCAAAATCTTTGCAGACAGAAAAAGTAATCTGTGGATAACCCTTCAAATGAACCCATCTATAAATAT